ACTTTATGTCCTTCGTATTATTCATCTCTTATCTTTTGCATGTGTTTTTAAGCTCTCTCTCTCCCCTCTCTATCTTTTCTCTCTCTCTCTCTCTCTCTCTCTCTCTCTCTCTCTCTCTCTCTCTCTCTCTCTCTCTCTCTCTCTCTCTCTCTCTCTCTCTCTCTCTCTCTCTCTCTCTCTTTCCCCCCTCCCTCCCTCCCCCCATGAGATCTAATGCAAAGAAATTCTACAAATATTAATAGCAGGCTTTCTCATTCCACTACAAATATCTGGGTTTTTTTAAACAGACATGTGAATACAGCTGTTAAAAAAAGTTACATATAAATAATGTAAGCAGTTATCAAAATCACAAACAGTAAAGTAAAGGAACTGCCATAATGCCTTCAACTGCAAGCCAAAACACGTTGGTGAGGACACTAATGCACCTATATGTATATAACAAGTAACAAAGTATTGAGTGTGATTATCTGGTGGAGACAATATTTGGTGGAGGCAATATCTGGTGGAGGCAATATCTGGTGGAGGCAATATTTGGTGGAGGCAATATCTGGTGGAGGCAATATTTGGTGAAGGCAATATCTGGTGGAGGCAATATCTGGTGGAGGCAATATCTGGTGGAGGCAATATCTGGTGGAGGCAATATCTGGTAGAGGCAATATCTGGTGGAGGCAAAGGAAGTTTGTATTTATTCTTTGGTAGCCAGTGGACAAGATTTACAGGTGCTGAACAGCATATGGTGGTGTGGCAGGTGCAGGGCCAGCACCTATCTGCACCTTGCTGCCTTCATCCTAGAAACAGGTTTTCAGCTGGGGAGGAGTCTGGCCAACATAGAAATAATCAAAATTTTCTTCAAAGTCAGAGTGCAACTGCCCCAGAGGCGAATAAAAACAGTCTACAAACAGATAAGCCAAGATTTGTACGTCTAGGACTTTCCACCATTTTAAGTCCAAAAGTTGACAAACATCTAGGACTTTTGACCATTTAAAGTCCAAAAGTTGACAAACATCTAGGACTTTTGACCATTTAAAGTCCAATAATTGATAAACATCTAGGACTTTCTGCCCTGGTTTACAGCTGTGCAGACAAGTTGTCAACTTGCGCGGTTGTGTTTTATTGATCTAGACACTATAAATTTTGTAGGAAGTCTGATGTTTTATGTATATTGCTCTTTTCACTCAAGTTATAAATTATTGACTTTGTAAATTTGTTATCACTGTCAAGTTTTCACTTATTATTATATAGTCTTTTCCCAGTGATGTATCTTTTTTTTTTCTAATGCTTCTTTCCCTTTCTTTTTTTTTTTTTGTTGTTGCTTCTTTTTCATCGTTAATCCCCCCCACCCCCCCCCCCCCCCCCCCCTCCCCCCATAAAATACCCTAGTTTTGTATGTCGGGTGCATGTGCATGTTTTAGTGTGGTGTATGGCTAAGTAAAAATATGGCTAGTGCCGTTTGTTGTTGGTGTTACAAACTAGGCCTTCATGTATACTTAACAATTTCATAATATGGTAAAATCGGCCCTTCATTACCACTTGTCTTTCCCGACAGATGCTAAAAAACTGATATTGAACAATTCTCTGTTTAGAAGCTGTATTATTGGTTTGGGGAATAAACCTTCCTGGCACTGCTAGGGATTGAACTGGGACCACAGTCTTCAAAAATCTTTGCCTTGTTAGCTGTGCCATCCCATGTTTTTGGGGGGGTTAAAACATGTTTGTATTAGTGGTTTGGGGGTGCAAACAGACTTTATCATCAAAGGGTTTGGTTTCTGGCAAGCTGAGCCTGTCTTATATTCTGCTGTTCTGACCTCACTTCCCCCACATACATTATTCCATGGCTATATCAGCTGGCGGCCCGTGGGCCGTCTTACCCTTGGAGCCCTTGGAGGCCAAGGAAGTGGCTCACGGTTTATTGCCAGTTGTAATAATGATTATTATGCGCGTTTGGCCCAGGACCATCCCATTTTCAAAATTGTGGCCCCCAGTAAACTTATTTGAACAGTCCTGCATTATTCCATTAATGATATCTTTAAACAGATGATAATAAACATTGTTCATAAAAAATCAAAACAAGCGCTTTCTAACATATTACATGTTTCGCTTTGGAGATCAGGGGGGGATGGGGGGCTCCATGAGATGTTATAGAGTTTCTGGAGAGATATCACATGCATATGTGTTGATGTTTCTGTGTGCATGTTGTCCAGAGATCAGCATGCATATGTGTGATGTTTCTGTGTGCTCCATGAGATCAGCATGCATATGTGTGATGTTTCTGTGTACATGTTGCTCCATGAGATCAGCATGCATATGTGTGATGTTTCTGTGTGCATGTTGCTCCATGAGATCAGCATGCATATGTGTGATGTTTCTGTGTACATGTTGCATGCCATGTGATCATGTTTTCTGTGCATGTTTTTTTCTGTGTACATGTTTCTGTGTACACATGTTTGCTCCATGAGTGTACATGTTTCAGCATGTTGCTCCATGCATATGTGTGATGTTTCTGTGTACATTCTGTACATGTTTCTGTGTACATGTTGCTCCATGTTTCTGTGTACATGTTTCTGTGTGCATGTTTCTGTGTACATGTTTCTGTGTGCATGTTTCTGTGTGCATGTTTCTGTGTACATGTTTCTGTGTACATGTTTCTGTGTACATGTTTCTGTGTACATGTTGCTCCATGAGATCAGCATGCATATGTGTGCATGTTTCTGTGTGCATGTTTCTGTGTACATGTTTCTGTGTACATGTTTCTGTGTGCATGTTTCTGTGTACATGTTTCTGTGTACATGTTTCTGTGTACATGTTGCTCCATGAGATCAGCATGCATATGTGTGATGTTTCTGTGTACATGTTGCTCCATGAGATCAGCATGCATATGTGTGATGTTTCTGTGTACATGTTTCTGTTACATGTGTGACAGATCAGTTTCATATGTGTACATGTTTGCTCCATGTACATGTTTCTGTGTACATGTTTCTGTGTGCATGTTTCTGTGTACATGTTTCTGTGTACATGTTTCTGTGTACATGTTGCTCCATGAGATCAGCATGCATATGTGTGATGTTTCTGTGTACATGTTTCTGTGTACATGCATATGTTGTTTCTCCATGGTATCAGTTTCTGCATACATGTGTGTGATGTTTCTGTGTACATGTTGCTCCATGAGATCAGCATGCATATGTGTGCATGTTTCTGTGTACATGTTTCTGTGTACATGTTGAGATCAGCATGCATGTGTGTGTGTGATGTTTCTGTTTACATGTTGTGTGTACATGTTGCTCATGAGTGTAATATGTGTGCATGTTTCTGTGTACATGTTTCTGTTGTGGCATGCATATGTGTGATGTTTCATGCATGTTGATTGTGTGCATGTTTATGTGTACATGTTTCTGTGTACATGTTTCTGTGTACATGTTTCTGTGTACATGTTTCTGTGTACATGTGTTCTGTTGTCCATGTTTCAGCATGTACATGATTTCTGTGTACATGTTGCTCCATGAGATCAGCATCCATGAGATCAGCATGCATATGTGTGATGTTTCTGTGTACATGTTGCTCCATGAGATCAGCATGCATATGTGTGATGTTTCTGTGTACATGTTGCTCCATGAGATCAGCATGCATATGTGTGCATGTTTCTGTGTACATGTTGCTCCATGAGATCAGCATGCATATGTGTGATGTTTCTGTGTACATGTTGCTCCATGAGGTCAGCAAACATATGTGTGATGTTTCTGTGTACATGTTGCTCCATGAGATCAGCATGCATATGTGTGATGTTTCTGTGTACATGTTTCTGTGTACATGTTGCTCCATGAGATCAGCGAGCATATGTGTGATGTTTCTGTGTACATGTTTCTGTGTAAATGTTGCTCCATTAGATCAGCGAGCATATGTGTGATGTTTCTGTGTACATGTTGCTCCATGAGGTCAGCAAGCATATGTGTGATGTTTCTGTGTACATGTTGCTCCATGAGATCAGCAAGCATATGTGTGATGTTTCTGTGTACATGTTTCAGAATTCGGGAACCAGTCTCAGCTGGCGGTTGGACCACTTCATGAAGAAAACCTCTCCTGCTGGGGGCAGCCCCTTGAAATCGGCAGCCTCGCCCCCAACCTCGCACTCAGCTCCGCCCTCTGTACAGCCTAAAGATGAGGTGATGGCGAAAACACCAGATCAGAATCGGCCTCACACCCTAAAGGATATCGGTCAGTGTGAAACCATGTCATTCGAGGTCCAGGCGCGTAAAGTTTCAGACAACGGTGGGGAAGATACTTTAGCTGACCCCGAGGATGGTGAAGATGAGGATGATTCGGGGATGTTTAGGGAAAAGAAGTCTTCAGTTTCATCACGGAAAGAATGTGATTTTTCATTGGGATTAAAAACAGCAGCCTCAGCCAAGCAATCATTAGCTCACAAGAAAAGTGCACTTTCAACTGAAGAAAATGTTAGCAGAAAAGTGACTTCTAAGGAAGATGGAATTCTGCCTCTTCAGAAATGTGTTGACCCCTTAAGGACAGACAACAGCAGGGGACAGAAATCCTCTTCCAGTTCTACCAAGGAAGGGAAGAAAACGGGTTCTCCTCCCACAGTTACTCCAGAAGCTACAAAGACCCCATCACCCCTTTTGAAGGCTAAGGCGGTCCAGCCTGGGTCAGGGTCGAGTTCCAATGATGAAATTGACGTTGTTAGTGTGACCCCTAATGAGAAAATCCGGAACCGTCTTTCTAGCCCAGAAAAGCCTGCAGGCAAAAGGGGTTTGTTGGAGTCATCAAAAATACGGTACAACGGGAATCTTTCGGAGAGTAGTGAAAAAGACACTCAGGCCTCTCCCCATAAAGGCAAAACTGTTGAGAAAACACACATCAAACACCACAAGACGAAACAGTCTTCTGCTGAGCACGCTTCCACTTCAGTCTCTTTACTGTCCACCAGTAAGACAGAAGATGCATCCAACACTTCAACTGCCTCGGCTAAGACCACAAAAAAGGACAGTGCCATGGCTTTGGATCATCTGGATGCCATTTCTAAACCTCCGAATCTGCTGTCGCCACTGCACTCCACATGTTCGCCACCGGTGGCTTCCACAAAACCCTTGCCTCCATTCCGTTCGTCTTTCCCCTTGCATTCTTCCCCCTCAGTGATGCCGCCATATGTCACACTCACCCGCGCCCCGGATGGCACTATTAGCCCCAAGATTGTCGTTCAAATAGACAATAGATTTTTGAGCAAGAAGATCTTGGGTTGGATCCGGGAGAAACGGGAAAGGCGGAAAAAGGCTCACCTGGCAACAGAGGTTTCAGAATCTTCACGGGCTGATGAAGCCTCCCAGGGCAACGCCAAGGAACCAACGGTTCTTGACACAGCTGGTGTGCCTAGAAATGGGGAACCGTCACCACCTTCAGGCCCCTCATCTCATTCCATGTCTTCTCAGTCTTCGAAAATAGGTAAGCATAAATCTCGGGACAGTAGCACCTCTGGTGGTGACAGTGTCATGTCCAGCCCACGCAGAAAAATGCCAAAACACACCAGCTCTTCCAGAAAGGAGCCCCAAACTTCTGCCTCATCGTCCTCTTCGTCATTACCGTTTGTACACCGTTGTCTTCCTTTAGTGTTTTTTCTTCTTCTCTGCATCCTCCTCTTCTTTCATTTCAGTTACTTAATGTGAATTTTGTATATGGTGCTAAGTCTGTATTTTTACAGAAACATATCAGCACTCATGAGGCTATGTCTACCTAAGGAAAGTCGGAGAAGACATAACGTTTACCTCTGCTGAAGATTGCCTGATAAAGACACACCTGTACTTCCTTTCAGTTTCTCCCCTCCACCCTGCTACCTTAACCACCCCAAAATTGCACATTTTTGGGCAGATGAAGTGCATAGGGGTTCATAGAAAAGTTGAATGGACTTCACTTAGTGCAGCAAAACCTTGCATATGCTATCACAACGTGTAGTCTGAGAATGGAGGTGGAGGCAGTGTCCATGATTGCAACTGACTCACAGAGCATGTTCAGGAAGATGAAGAAAGGCATGCTTTGTGCAGAGTGGCAAGCATCTTTTCAGGGGTACGGGGTAGGTAGCATCCTATGGATATTTTCTCCAGGTCATGCCGGTGTGTTGGGAAATGAGCAGATAGATAGAGTCACCGGCTCTGCACCACTTGGTGAAGAATTGATGTATGACAAGCTTATATTGTGAGGGCCCTTTAGAAATGAGAGAACAGTGCGGAGGTGCAGATAGATCATCACAGTCTGAGGAGAATGATGCTGCGAGGAGTTACCAGGGGATCTTGCCTACGCCAAACACTCAGGGAAGGATAAGATGGATATACAATCTGACGGCTACTGGTGCCATCAGAATTGGAACTCTTCGCTTACTGCTGAAAATGGGGGACGGTGCACTAATGGGAGTGTCCAGAGTGCTGTGATGTCAATTCCTAATTCAACATTTGAACGGCAAGCCAGCTAAATGAATCCCTACACACCCAGTTCAACCTTAAAAGAAATTATAACTGGGGTACCTGAAGCGGTTGCACAAGCCAGGTTTAGACTGCAGTCCAGTGCTGGTATAGATGTAGATGGGCGATAACTTAGTCGACAGATTATGCTCATTGCACATCGAACCATTTAGTCCATAAGTGCTGGGATTCTGTTCTCAGTAAATCCTACAGGGCGTAACGGCTGACAGGATACCAGTTCTGTGTTGGTTTCTCATTCTTCCTTAGCCTCCTGCATAGTGCTCGTCCGGACACACCCCTTTTTACTTGTTTTTGCTGGCTGCTCAAGGTTGCAGATTCAGTCTCTCGCTTCTCTATTCAGTCTCTCGCTTCTCCCAAACATCTTACTTCTAGTAGGGCATTCAGTATTTCAGGATAGTCTGTGGCTAGCTAGACCGACCTTCACACCAGCCTTACTAGCCTTTCAGCTTGCTAATTTCCTTACAGGCCTGTGTACCTTGGCACGTAACTGAAACTGATCTTTCTTAGACCCTAGCGCCTCAGAGACACCAGCCACACAGTTTTCAGACCCGGCTCATCTATGGGTTAAAGAACAACACGTTGACAGGCGCAGTATATATAATACAGCAAGAAGATTTTACAGGCTTTGCTAGTAATGCCTGTTTTTAACCAACGCCCGGTAATTTCTTATCCTTGGCATTACCATATATATCCAGGTTTGGCTTGCGGATTTCTTGACATTTGGCATACTTGGCAAAAGTGTCATTAAAGCTTGCTGCGTTCCTGGGGTTTGCACTGCAGTTGTCATTCCCTGCTTTGCCGTGTCTGTATGTGTGTGTGTGTGTCATTATTTCCTCCATTTGTCTCTGTTAGTATGTCTGGATTATTTATACGATGGTCTCCCCATTTGCACACCAGCGATTGTAGGTCAACTCAGTTTATAAGTTGGTTGGACTAGTCCACCGTTGTTGAGGTTATGGGTGTCGCAGTCTGTTGACTGGTATTTACATATTTATTTCCGAGAAAGAGACAGCATGTGACATAGGTTTTGTCACTTTCTAGGGGTGTTGTGTGTTAGACCACCTGTTTCTAAATGTTTTAGAAGTGTTTAAAAGCTCTGGCATGGGGAAATATACAACACGCGGTATGAGCGCTAGTACAGAATATCCCCGTGACCTTGTGTAAAAGTCGGATCGCTCTAGGCCAACCTATCAGAAGTGAGGTGGCCAGTAGGTCATCCAATCAGCAGCGAGCGTGTGTGTAGCGGTGTGTAAATGGGAAGATGAGCTTAAAATTTACCGTCTGTCTGTCTGAAATTGTGTGATTGATTCAATATAATTTTGACTCCCCCGCTTCCCCCTTCCTTCCCCCTCTCTCTGTATGTGACTCAGTTCCTGTCTCCATTTGTGTAGTTTTCTGTATGCCTGTCTTACCATTTGGCTCTGCCTGTCTGTCATCTCCCTCCACTGTCTCTGTCAGTAGGTATGTCTATACCCTCCCCACTTTTCTCTTTCTCTAGCGCGTGCTAGTGCGCGCGCGCACACACACATTCATTTCCACTTGCAGCCGGCAGTTTCATATTAGCACTTGGGCATTCCACCAGTAGTGCATTGCATATGTGTTGTGTGTGTGGGGGGGGGGGGGGGGGGGCGAGGTATCTACCACAAGTACAGGTATTCCACGGTGTAACATATATGATTACTTTCACCTGTTCTGTTGTTGTGTATGTGTTTTGTTTTATTAGTCACGACTTCCTTATCAGGAATGTGCGTGAGAGATCTACAGTGTGTACTGATATTGTATACAGGGAAATAATTGGACGGTTTCTCTCTCTCTCTCTCTCTCTCTCTCTCTCTCTCTCTCTCTCTCTATATCTATATATTATATATATATATATATACTATATATATATATATATATATATATATATATATATATATATATATATATATATATATATATATATATTTGTGTGTGTGTCTAACTGCTTGCCTGCTTGCATTTTCTGTCTATCACCTCATATTCATTTTTAAGTCTGTCTGCTTGCCAATTAGCTTGTCTTTCTGTATATCGCTGCCTGCCTGCCTGTCGACCTGCTTTTTTGCCTGTTTTTAATTTACCTGTTTTTAATTTGCCTGCTCGCCAGCCAGCCTGCTTCTGTGAAAAGTCAGTATGCGAGGGTGCGGCATTCTAGTATTCTGAATGGCAGCGCCCCCCCTCCCCCCTCCCCCTTTTCCCCGCACACCTCTCCCCTTGTTCAAACCAAACCTCATTAACATATGTGGCGACTTGGTTCGTGTCCTGACCTTCAAGGCGAAGCCTCAGTAGCCTAAAGCTCTTAAAGGCGTTGTGAGCTATCTGGGCACGCATGCCAAATGTTGACGTCAGGTCCTCTTGCATCCCATCCTTTTCGTTCGCCGGCTGTAAACTCCAGCGGAAAGTTCTGGGTGTTCGTCCACATCGTTAGTCTTGTCCCATTACCTGAGTGTTTAGCGCACATCCGTTTCACATGTCTGGCACATTTGTGTGCAGACTCTTGGTTCTTTGCTTGTTGTGGAGGTGTCTTCTTGTTTTCCCTATAATGGGGCGCTCGAACTTATACAACCAACGCCATGGGGAGAAGAGGTTACTTCTGTACAATATAAATGTTTCATAAAGCTCTGTTTTATAGCCTGGTCGGCACTTGGTGGGTGATGTGGTTAGCATCAGGCCAGCCTCCTTTACTTCCCAGGACTGCACCCGCGCAAGGCTGGGTCGTCCTGGGAGCCATCGTCAGTTTGGAAAAAAGTCCAGCTCCGCCTGGACCCGAACCCAAGACCTTCAGACCTGCAGGCGGGCGTCTAGCCGCTACACCCATCTCATAGCTAGTAGCGATTTTAATGAAGGCTAGAAGTCCCCCCCCCCCCCCCCCCACCCTCCATTGCGCAGGGCTTGGGTGTTAACTATGACAGAGAGCCTCACGTCGCTGTCCGGGCAACATTTGGAGTAAAAAGTCTACCCAAAGTATTTCGGGATTCTCGCCGGTGCAACGGAGTTCGTGCACTGCGCCGAGAGTTTTCAGACTCAGACTTGAGTTGGAAGTAGAACGGAGCACTTAATGGGTTTACACTCGTGTGCCATGATGTTGATCCGTCCACTAAACTAAACTTAAAACAACTATGGCAGAGAACGTGTTGCCTTTACAGCAGCTGTTTTCCTCTCTCGCTCTGCTTCATTCACTCCGGAGGAAAGATGTGTTGATTGTCGGCTCCAGCAGTGACAGCTAATAATTCACAACTATCACCTGTGATCAGAATAACGGGTTGAAGGTGAAACTGCTGTCAGGTATAAATAGCGCCATTAATAAACCGTGGAACAGGAGATCGTGACCATAGAGAAAGAAGGGAGCATGCGTCGTTTGGGGATGTTCTCCAACATGACCGAGATTATTTGCATGTTAAGGTTGGGGTCCGGGTGGTGACGCAACTGTAGGAATATATTGTAGATTTTTTAGACTCAGGCTTGAGTTAGAAGTAGAATGGAGCACTTAATGGGTTTACACTCGTGTGCCATGATGTTGATTGGTCCACTAAACTAAACTTAAAACAACTGTGGCAGAGAACGTGTTGCATTTACAGCAGCCGTATCCCTTTCGCCTGCTGGTGGATGTAATGTCCTAAGTCCCTTCCCCAGCTAATAATGAGGGTACTGCTGGGGTGACCGTTTATTAACCCTCATTTAATGCTTCAGGTCAAAATGGACGCTAGGCACGGCCACCTTTTTTAGCCGTGGCAAATTTTTTTTTTCTGTTAGACGGTGGCCGTTGCATTTTTTGCTCCATTTGTTGACTGGAAGGATATAGTTTCGTCGCCCAGCTTCTGAGTTGAGTGCATGGCGTGACACTGAGCTACATGTGTTTTTCGTTGGCACAGGAGCGGAGCAACTATGGGGTGAAAGCTGAAACTAGGATTACCAGATATATTGTGTGCTGATTGCAGGTGTTTAACTCTCACGTGGTCATCTCCTTCCTGCATTAGCCTCCCGTGAGTTGCGGATTTAAAAAAAAAATTATATGCGGGATTGGCTATCAACATCTGCTAAAGTCAAAGTGTCTGTCTCGCAACACCAAGATCAAAATATACAAACGTTGATAAGACCAGTCGTGTTATATGGCTCTGAAACTTTGAGCACAACTAAAAGAAATGAAGACCTTATTACAGGTTTTTGAAATCAGAGTCTTTCTAACGACGACTCTTTGGACCCATCGAAGATGTAAACAGCGGGGAATGGAGAGTCAGAAACAATAACGAAATTCGTAATCTGTTTATATCCCCACTGATCACTGGCACCAAGAGAGCTAATAGACTGAAATGATTGGGGCATATTGAAAGAATGTCAGATGACAGAGAAGTAAAAAACTCAATACAGAGATAATGTCCTGACAGACCTGCAAACACTTGGTGTCACTAACTGGAAAGAGAAGGCCAACCAGAGAGATTAATTGAGGCGGGTGATATCTGCAGCAATGAACCTCAAGGGCTCAGAATGCTGAAGAAGGCCAACCAGAGAGATGAAGATAGGCTTTCAAAGTAATCACGACGCATCGCTGCAGCATGTAAACTGAAAGAAATTTACACGCACGTGTCAGTTACTGTATATTTTTTTTAAAGGTGTACAGAAATTATTAGTCAAAAACATATCACAGAAATTCCCCGCTTTTAAGAAAACAGCAGTGCCTGTACAATTGTAAATTATGAAATCACAAGGACGTGAGAATTAAGGCCACATGCCAAACTTCGTCGTGATCAGTACTGGAGTTTTCGAGGTGTCTGTTTCTGAGATATTGTTGAAGTTAAAGTGTGAGTGCTCGACTTTTGAAACACACTATAGACCTTTATTTGTATAGACTCTCTCTCTTCTCTCTCTCTCTCTCTCTCTCTCTCTCTCTCTCTCTCTCTCTCTCTCTCTCTCTCTCTCTCTCTGTGTGTGTCTCTCTCTGTGTCTCTCTCTCTCTCTCTCTCTGTGTGTGTGTGTGTAGACCTCCTGGCACTTAACAGACATGTCGTTAAAGTCGGACCAGTTGAGGATTTGCTGAAATTACATTATTGGGCCAAACGGCATAGGTGTCGCAGCCTAGCCGCAGATCACAACACACAGTGTACTGACCGCCGTTTCAAGGACAAATATAGAAGCAGATGAAGCACTTAACAATTGTAAATTATGAAATCACAAGGACGTGAGAATTAAGGCCACATGCCAAACTTCGTCTTGATCAGTACTGGAGTGTGAAGGAGGTGTTTGTTTCTGAGATATTAGTTACAAGTGTGAATGCTCGACTTTTGAAACACAATGTAGACCTATATTTGTATAGACCAGTCGAAACTGGATGGGCGATGTGGTCAACATCACACTTTACTTCTATAAACCTGGCCATGCTGGCGTGAAAGGTAACGAACGTGCAGACCAGTGCACCTAACGTATGTAGGAGCAATCATGGGCAGAGCAGACATCATCCAAGATTGTACGGACTTCGTTAGAGGGTAATGGCGAATCTCTGTCACTAACATGATTGTCTGACATGGGAGTGAAGCATGGTGAAGCACGTCTGTGGCTGTCTTCATGGTCGAGAGAGGAGACATTATAACCAGCTTCTTATCGGGACATTCATTAGAGGTACTTTGGAGTAGCTGCTGAATCGGAAGACAGAACGCGCATGGAAACGCCCGCAAAAAAAAAAAAAAAAATGTGTTGCATATCCTTTACAGGACGTTGCAGAACCAGCCCCAGCATTTTTTGGCTGCCGTGGTTTTTCTAGGCAAGTTCAAGTTTTACGTTCATTGCCTTCTGAACGGTTCGCTCTCGGTACCACTGTCGAAACCAACGCAAGTCGTTCTGAATGTTCTGACAGAGTTCACAGTTGGTGAATGCCGAGGAGAAGAAGACATTTTGTGAAGCATGACGCCTTACTCGCCTTACTCGTTTCCAAGGAATTGATGTTCTCAGTGGCTTTAGACTTTAGTGTATGCTCTGTCCTGTCTGTGATTCACCGTCAGAAATGTCTGCTATTTTAGCGCCAAGAAGCGGAGATAGTTCAACAAGTACTTACAGCTTACCTGCGCCTTTTCTGCCTGTTAAAATACCAGAAATTGTTTCCCCTGTGTAAATACCAGAAATTGTTTCCCCCTTATCCACCGTGCAGTAAAGAGGCTACTTACACTGAGTTGAACTGGTTCACGTCAGCTGATCATTCTCTCTCTCTCTCTCTCTCTCTCTCTCTCTCTCTCTCTCTCTCTCTCTCTCTCTCTCTCTCTCTCTCTCTCTCTATCTCGGTCTCTCTCTCTCTCTCTCTCTCTCTCTCTCTCTCTCTCTCTCTCTCTCTCTCTCTCTCTCTTTCTTTCATCGTAGACCTCCTGACACTTAACAGACATGTCGTTAAAGGCGGACCTGTTAAGGATTTGTTGAAATGAGATTGTTGGGCCAAACGGTATAGATGTCGCAGCCTAGCTGTAGATCAAAACACACAGTGTGCTTGCTTACCGCCGTTTTAAGAACGAACGTAGAAGCAGATGAAGCACTTAAAGTTTCGCGTGCAGAGAAAAAGAGTTACGAGGCATCTCAAGAGGGCAGCTGTACACAGTTTAAAAATGTTGAATTGAGAATCAACATGACAGCACTCGGGATACTTCAATAAGCGCTCAGTCTCATCTTCAGCATCAAGCGAAGAGTTCCAATTCCGATGGTACCAGTAACCGTCTGATTGTATATCCGTCTCATCCTTCCCCAGAGAGTTAAGCGCCGGCCAGATCCCCTGGTAACTTCTCGCAGCGCCATTCTCCTTAGACCATAACGAACTATCCGCGCCTCCTCCAGTACACAGTTTAATGTTCACCGAAGCCAAACAAACATAGTAAGGGTTATGTTTTTTTTTTTTTAATAAACTTTTTCCACTCACTTTTTTTTTTTTATAGAAGAGAAGACATAAGTCCACACAAAGGCAACAGAAAATGCCATACACAAGAAACAATAACATCACAGAAATTACAGACTCAACAAAGGCAAAATATCCAAAAGAGCAGCAATAACTAAAGGACTTACTGCAACAAGCTAGATGTGTTGTTTTACATCTTATAGCTGGTATTCAACTCCGTGTGGCTCAGCTCATGGAATAGCCGGCCAGGATAAAATCCTGACCTACACAGTCGGTGAAAACTGTACTAGCCATGCGGCCCTAATTCCTCGGGCTCAGAGCCCCCCCCCCCCTCCCCCTCCCCTTTCTCCCCATCCGTTCCACACCGTAAAACTGGTGAATACAGGAACTAATGGCAGTTATTTGTGTGTATGTGTAAGACTGTACAACTCACCACGGAAGTCTTGGATTATCCACGTGATGCACATGATCTTTGATAGGGCTAATTATGCCAGAAAATAAATTGTGCACCATGTAATGTCTGTCTTGGCCACATGTATTGTTGTACACGGGGCGTGTTCAAGAGCTTCACAATAGTTCGTCTCCTAGCTTTGTGAGATTAAGACATTTCCCTTACCTCGCGACTTGTCCCTGTTAATCCACATAGCTATACTGTCCACTAATTTATACCCCCCCCCCCCCACTCCCCCATGATGTTTCCCCATAAAATGTGTCACAGTAGTCACGTTATCGGGGTTATTCCATGTCTATTATCATAACAAGCGCATCAGATCTGGGCGAAGTCTTTCTCTGATCATCATGGTTTTATTGTTTGTTTTCTTTCTTCTTCATATTTTAAATTCTATCTGCTGTACCATGGTCGTTGAACTTGACTGTATCTTCAGCACCACATAGGAGAGTACATAACAGTATTTATGATAATACCCTTGACTCATGTCCTTTTGAAGCTGGGCTTTTAAAAACACACATGGTGTTGGTTACTGTGCCGACCAAGCCTTTAATGGGTACCAGGTAAAGTCATGGGAAGTCAAGGTGGCCAGCGTGATGTTTATATCACCCGCTGTGTGTCCAATATACTCGAAGGCGTAGAAGAGGGTCCTTGACATTGCTGTGTGACCCAGACATGGGTTGGGGTCAGATCTCTCTCTCTCTCTCTCTCTCTCTCTCTCTCTCTCTCTCTCTCTCTCTCTCTCTCTCTCTCTCTGTGCGTGTTTGTTTGTTTGTTTTGTTCTCTCTCTCTCTATCTCTCAATGTAACGTATGTGTTTGTTGTATGTTGTTTGTTTGTATGTATGTTGTAATGTCTGTATGTATGTATGTATGTATGTATGTATGTAATGTATGTATGTATGTATGTATGTATGTATGTATGTATGTATGTATGTATATATATGAACATAACATCATGTAAAGATAAAATACAACTTTGGCATGAAAGATGACAGTTTTGAATAGGCCTTTGTGCCCAGTTTGTTACCACTATACTGTAGGTTGACTGAGTTTCTTTTTTGGTTCTGTTTCTAGTGACAAGGGAAACAATTCAGCACCTGCTGCTGCTGCTCCTATCAGCAAACGTCGAGACAGCGCAAACAGCACTTCCAGCAAGGGAAGCCACCAGTCTGTCTCTTCCTCCAAAAAGCCTAGGCGAGTCTCAGTCAACAGTAAAAAAGACACCAGTAGCAGTAGTACCAGTATTGAAAAGGTATGGAGTCCTCTTTATTTTCTTCTTCTTCTTCACATTCAACGGCTGTAAACTCTGGTGGAATGTTCTGCTTGTTCACCCACTTCTGGACTCTAGTCCTGTTCTAGAAATTGAGCCTTGCGTGCACATATGTTTCTCAGGTCTGACTTTTTTGCATGCAGACTGTTGGTTCCTTGCCTGTCAGACAGATGTACTCTGATTTAGAAGGAAGCTCCAAAATAGTCAATTCTTACAACAGGTTTTTAAGTAGGTCTGTTCTTGTTTTCCCCACAGTGGGGTCCCGGAACCCAGACATGGAATGTAAGGAGTATTTTTTTAAAAAAAAAAAACAAATTGAACAATATCGATGCACCAGGTTCAGGCTGTCACTCTTCTTTGAGCACCTTGTGAAGAAGGAGGATAGGAGTGTATTGTGATAATATCTACCTGTGAAAAATAAACTACCTGTGAATTGCAGTCTCTGTAAGGTCACTAGCAGCACAAGAAGGAACAGGGCTTTAAATACCAGCAGCAGACAGGAGTTGAAATGTGGCAGTTTCTGATTTGTATTGACAGAGAATGAAATGGGAGCGGCCATCTAGTGTAAATGCAGCCAGACCAAATGGCATATAATTTTATTCCCCAGCAGAACATCTGGGAGAAAAGTGATTGGAAAACCAGGAAAGAGATGGATGTAGCTGAATCCTGCAAAAAGGTGGGGGGAAAAATCCATGATCCAAGTCACCAGAGAAGCCCAAGTCGATTAAAAGAAAAGAGAGAACCTCAGTTCTGTATTGGTTTCTTAAATATTTATTCTCCTTTGGCTTCCTACATGGTGCTCTTATCTAGCCCCACACTGTTTAACTTGCAGTCGGTCTGATCATTGTTGCAGATTCGCGGTCAATTGGTTCTTGTAAACGTCTTACTTCTCATAGAGCATTCAGTATATCTGCCCTTTACTGTAGCCTTACCTTCAAGCCTATCAGCTTGTTCATTTTCTTGCATACCTGCATTTTTGGCAAGAAGAAGAGAAAGAGGATTAGAATGAATAGGAGCAGGAGTGCTCATTATTTACTTTATTGAAGAACATCAAATGTATGTTGTTGTTGAAATGTCTGTAACAGACAAGTGGGAGCTGTGGTAACCCAGTGGTTAGCATATGTGCCTCCTGGCTCAGTAGTCATGTGCTTAAATTCAACCTAAGTCAAGGACACTTTCAGTACCGACCTGTGCTTTCAGACTTGACCCAGCCAAAAATGGATACAAGAGGAAATGTTCTCAGAAATAAAGGTGGCCAGTGTGATATTAACCGTATCACACATTGAGTGCTAATTGGTTTATTTAAACATGTGAGATTTGAACCATGTACTCATTATACCTCTCGGCTTGGAAAGGAGTGCTTTACCAACTGTTTTCCTTGCCAGGCAAGTGCCCCAGTCACCAGTGGGCCAGAGAGCAGCAATCTTCCATTTAACCATTACGTCAACGGCAACAGCAGCAGTGGCAGCAGCAATGGCAGTGTCAGTTCACGGGCACCACCTTCCACAACAGCAACAGCGCTACCTGCAAATGTACCACCACCATCACCTATCGAGACACAGTCAGTATATTTCTTTGTCACCCTAGTGTATTTTACTCTGCTGAGACACACTGTATTTCACTGTCACCTTATTAAAACAAAAGAGTATATTTCATTGTCATTCTGGTCTGCGTTAGTCTCTTGAGACACAGTATATTTGATGGTCACCTTACTGTAGTTTATTCGGTTCTATCCCAGTACCTCCCCCCAAACAGACATTTGAATATTTTAAGGGGTGGTAAATAGGCTGCATGCAGTTGTGGGACCTACGCTGCACTCTCTCGAGGGACGCAGATGAGGTAGGTTTAGGCCTAGCTCTAGATGTTGTGGGGTAGTTAAAAGCATCAGAAAGCCGGGAAACCCACTCTTACCACCCTTGAAAATATTGGACTGTCCTGTGACGTCATCCTGGGGGGGGGGGGGGGGGGGGGGGGAGATATTGGGAAAGCACTCGTTTATTCCCTTATGTCTGTTTATTTAATGATTTAAACAAAAAGTGAAACAAAATGTGGGAAGTAAAGTCCATGGTGAAGTTAATGAGAGAGCTGAAGCAAGAAACATTGTCAGTCGAGACTGGAGGGACAATGGTGTTTTGGCTTAACTGAGCTTGGGGAGGATGGGGGGGGATTTACTAATGTCAAGCAGCAATAGAGTTAGTTAATCAACAGGCCATCCTCAAAATCATCATCCTCACTGCACGTTGAACCAAAAGCCCACAGCAAACCATATTAGTGGCACAAAACCCACTGCAAACCACATGAATGGCACAAAAGCCCACAACAAACCATATTAATGGCACAAAACCCACTGCAAACCACATGAATGGCACAAAAGCCCACAGCAAACCATATTAGTGGCACAAAACCCACTGCAAACTACATGAATGGCACAAAAGCCCACTAAAAACCATATTGATGGCTCAATAGCCCACTGGAAAACATATAAATGGCACAGAAACTCACTAAACCCAGTTAATGGCATAAAAACACCTGAAAAACCAAATGAATATCACAAAAGCCCACTGAAAACAACATTAGTTGACATAGTTGAAAGGCAATTGTTCAACAGCACAGTACATCAAAGTCTATTAACAAAGTTGGGCTGAATAACTTCACATGAGAAACAACCTTTTATTACTTCAAAAGCAGCCAGGAGTTGAATACAAGTAGCAATAACAATAAAATTCACTTATATATTTTGTGCATCTTTTCTCTGCTTGCCAGTTTGTAAAACATGTTTTGCATTTGTTAATATGGTTAGAAATAGATAAATAAAATAAAACCACAACAAAATGAAAATACAGCATCCAGATGAAATGGCTCAAACACCCCCCCCCAACAAAAAAAAAAAAAAAAAAAAGCAGAGTAGAACAGAGCCAGTATTTCCTTCACATATTTTTTTTAAGGCATCAGTTTCAATAACTCACCAGTTTTCAGTTTTCTTTTTTTGAAACTTGGTTGTATAGTTGTCCTAAACAGACACATCTTTACACATGGTTATAGTTATTTAGAGAGGGGGGAAATATGAATATACATTGCCCTGGGCAAGCATGCTGTATTTCCCACCCCTTTACCTGCCGCACACGTACAAGCGCACATATGTGTGTACATGTTTCTTGATAATCTTTCCTTTTGCCTTCTTTACAGAATAGAAGAGGTGAGGCCACAGAAATGTGTGCCCCCCTCCCCACATGCATGCATGCACGCACCACACAGTCAAACACACACGCTCCCACAACAACAACAACACAAACACAGACCAGCCCTCAGAAACACAAACTCCCATGATAAAATCTCCCTACAGCATGAAACCAAACAGATGATATAATCTTCACCATCTAACAAGCAATGCCTTTGATTCTAATTTCAGACTCCACAGCACAAAGCATTATTTGGCTCGGGCCAGGGAACACAAACATCATGCAGACAACCTGGTATGTTGTTGTCTCATTTGGGGTTATTGTTTGGTTTTGTTTTGTTTTGTTTGTGCTGTTGACTGCTGTTGATTATGTTTGAGGCATTGTTTCAGCAGACATGAAAGAGGGGCTGCTTATAACCTGGTTGGCCCCCGTGTAATCTGAAATACATTTGATACATCATATTGATTGGTGTTACGGAGTGCTGTTGTTTTCTCTGTTCCTGATGCTAGAATATGTTTATACAAATTTGTCTTAGAGCTGGGTGGTGACCAGTGGGTGGTGGATTTATACCTGACAAGCTAGATGTTGTCAAGGCCCTTCCTTTGGGACCAGATGAACAGTTTAGAGGCATGGATTGATCATTGTGGTGTCTGAAGAGAATGGTACAGCTAGGAGAGACCAGGGTATCTAGTCGACACGTTACACTCAGAGGAAGGGCAGGACGGACAAATAATCAAACGGCTACTGACACCATGACTGACTTGGAAGAAAGATTGCAAATACCAGAACTTTAGACACGAAAGTGGTGCAAGTAAACCATACCACAAAAATAACCAAAGACTGTTAGCAGCTTCGGCTAGATAACAGTAGGTTGAATGTGGTTGAGATTGTGTGTGTGTGTGTGTAAAATGAAATGAAATGGAATAGGACCATGGGAATTAGAATTGGAAGAAGATGGATCACTTGTGGGAATGTCCCAAGTGCTGTGATGTCAGTTCTTAGCTGCACTCAACACAACTGAGCAGGTGTTTGAGGTGTTGTTTAACCCTCTCTACCAGGAAACTCTCTGCACATTACTTTGTTTCTCCATTCATTAGTTCTTCTGTTTGTTTGTTTCTGTGTTCATTGTTTAATTTGTTTCATTCATTTAGGACAGGGCACAATATTCTTCATCAACATATGGTTAAACTTTTCGGTGTTGAACTCACAGAGTCGTTTCCCTGCATGCATGTGCTCCAACACTATCAGCTGTATGCTGACAACAGGGACACAACCTGGCAACAGGGACACAACCTGGCAACAGGGACACAATCTGGCAACAGAGACACAATCTGGACTGTTCCAACCACATTGAAGAGAAAACTTGTTTGGTACACGAGAAGATATGGACTTCACGATAGCTTTCATGAAGGCTACCGGCCTACTGGTATAAGTTTTATGACAGAAGGATCGAAGAAGTTTATTTTGTTTAAGGCAGTGTTGTCTTTAGTGTAATAATTCTCTGGGTTTGTGGAGTTAATAACATTCAGAAGGAAGAAATTAACAGAAGACTGGGACTTGGACTTAAACCAGTCTTATATAGTTCATATGCTGCCAGCACTTACCGGCAGAGCACACGGAAATGAGGATTTCCTTACCTAACATAATATTTTAAAATTTTATTTTTTTTGTTTAAAGCTTTACTGCAGTCAGTTCATTTTGTTACCATTTTGTGCATTGCAGAAAGATAAACTGGCCAAGTATGAGCCGTATCTTCGATCTGGCCTGAGTTTTTTCCTGGCCGGCTATTCCATGGAGCTGAGCCACACGGAGTTGAATACCAGCTATAAGATGTATAACGACACATCTAGCTTGTTGCAGTAAGTTTTTTAGTTATTGCTGCTCTTTTGGATATTCTGCCTTTGTTGAGTCTGTACACTTCTGTGATGTTATTGTTTCTTGTGTGTAGCATTTTCTGTTGCCTTTGTGTGGACTTGTGTCTTCTCTTTTGTAACAAAAAAGTGGGTGAAATAAGTTTATCAAACAAAATGATAGCAGGCAGAAGGAAATAGACGGTCAAACAAAATAGCATGCAGAAACACAGGTGATCAATCAAACAAGATAGCTGGCAAAAAGAAAAGCGATCAAGCAAAATAGCAGGCAGAGAGACAGATGATCAAACAAAATAGAAGGCAGAGAGACAGATGATCAAATAAAATAGCAGGCAGAGAGACAGATGATCAAACAAAATAGCAGACAGAGAGATAGATGATCAAACAAAATAGTAGGCAAAAAGAAAGAGGTGACCAAGCAAAATAGCAGGCAGAAAGATAGGTGGTCAAGCAAAATAACAAGCAAAAGGAAAGAGGTGATCAAACAAAATAGCCAGCTAAAAAAAGAAAAAGAGGTGATCAAGCAAAATAGCAGGCAGAAAGAAAGAGGTGATCTAGCAAAATAGCAGGCAGAAGGAAAATCAGTGATCAAACAAAATAGCAGGCAGAAGGAAAGAGATGATCAAGCAAAATAGCAGGCAGAAGGAAAGAGGTGATCAAGCAAAATAGCAGGACAGAAGGAAAAAAGTGATCAAGAAAATGGCAAGCAGAAGAAAAGAGGTGATCAAGAAAAATAGCAAGCAGAAGGAAATGGTGACAGGGCAAAATAAGTAGAAAGAAAGGGTGATCAAAGAAAGGATGCCTGGAAGAAACAATGAAAGGAAGTAGTTAAATAGAAGGAATGAAAGGAAATAAGCAAAATAACAGTGAAAGAAATGCTGGATAAACAGTCAAAATAGGCTAGTAGGCCAATAGAGGAAAAATTATCTCTTTATCTGGACTCCCAATCTCTCTTGGAATCATTGTCACTTTCCCTTCCTTGTCCCAACCCTTTTAAAAAAAAAAAAATCAAATGTACACTGCAGGCTATCCGCAACAACCCATATGCACTCAGATGAGAACACAATATTGCATGAAACATCAGTTTCATCTCCAGTATGCATATCATTCCTTTGGGTCATTCTACATTCAAGAGTATGTGTGTGTTTTTCTTCCCCCAAGTTGGAGTTGTCACTCAAAAGCTGCATTTTATGATGTCAGGTGACAGTATGATCTTGTTTTAGATGTCACATGACATGTTATGTTGAATGTCTTGTCATGTCATGCACTGATGTGAGTCAAATATTATGGGATGTAAGTAAAGGACCCCTTTAACACTGTTGGAGCATCAGATATACCATGCTAGGCCTGTGTTGTTATGGACTGAGCAGCACTTTGTAGATGTGGTCACCATCATTCTGGCTGCTTTTATGTCCGTGGATATTTCCTAACACCCATTTTAGGCTGGGTCCACCTGAGAGCCAGAGGCAATTGTTTAACATTTCTATTTTAGCGGGATGCAGATTTGAATCCAAGACCTTCAGGCTGGCAGCCAATTGTCTAGCCACAGCCATGCACCACCCATTATGTGATCACAGTATGTGAGATTTTTGTAAATCTTCTTTGTGTTATCAGTGCCAAACATGGACATTTACAACGAAAGAACAATTTAAACAACAAAATAAAATGCCTACAGCTAATCCTCAGTGCAACTAAAAGAGACCGGACCTGAAATGACAATCTCGGGAAAGAAGTTGGCACAGAACCAGTACTAAACTACTTCAAAAGAGACAAGAGATCAAATGTTTTGGACATGTGTCAGGGTTACAACAAGACAGTGAACCACAGTGAGTCCTGAGATAATGGAAGCAGATCTAGAAGTCGACCACACAAGTTATGGATAGATGGAATATCTGAGGACATAAATACAAGCATCTACATAGCATATCCCATGGCTGGCACCCAGTGCCTCTTCAAAACTGAAGGGCAGAACAGGACTGGGAAAAAAGCAAACATGTATGAACATTTATTTGCTGTTCCATATGTAATGCAAAGAGAAAAACACTTGTTTTTTGGCCACATAATGAGAAGAGAGAACGTGAGAACATCATGACAACTGGAAAGATAAGTGGGAAAAGGGGTAGAGGTAGACCAATAGAGATGATGCTGGATGGGCTGAAACGATGGCATAGAGGGATATCATCAAGAGAGCTGCAACCAGGGATCGTGATCTGTGGAGATGCATGAGCGCCTATGCCAGTTGGCAGGGCACATGATGATGATACCTAATGAGGGGAAGGATACCCTGGATGACATAGTGTGGTGTTGTCCCTTATAAAATGCCTTGTCATATGCTACTTCTGTGGGTCCTGGGATTTGCCATCTTGTGTTAATGTTGTCCATACAGTTTCATTGAGTAATGTGTCATTTTCAATGTCACATAGTGTACTGAATCAGATGTCATGTGACATTTATCCATTTCTCAGGTATGTGATTAGGATGCGAGCCAACAGCAGTTCAAATCCAGACCTCTGCGACAGGGAAAGAAAACTTTTAGTATTAATGTAAGTTGGTTGTGAACACATGTTTGTGTGATGTGTTTTTGTCTGTCTGTCTGTGTATACTAGTATTTTGTGTGCTTGTTCATTAGTCTATGTGTACAGTTTGTGATGTGTTTGTGTCTGTCTGTGTATACTAGTAGTCTGTGTGCTTGTTCATTAGTCTATGTGTACAGCTTGTCGGCTATCCTCCGAAATAACGGGCACAAAAGATGGCGACCAGTGGCGGCCAAAAACAGGGCCTCAGTCACGTGTCAATTGCGCACTTCCTGCGACTTAATTTGCAGTTGTCTGGCGACTACTGCCACCGCCAAGAGTATCTCCCACGCTGCTCATGCAGCGTCTGTTAGTCTGTGTGTGGAGGTTGTCTGTTTGTGTGTCTGGAGGTTGTCTGTTAATCTGTGCGTAAAGGTTGTCTGTTAGACTGTGTGTGGAAATTGCCTCCTTGTCTGTGTGTGGAGGTTGTCTGTTAGTCTGTGTGTGGAGGTTGTCTGTTTGTCTATGTGTGGAGGTTGTCTGTTAGTCTGTGTGTGGAGGTTGCCTGTTAGTCTATGTGTGGAGGTTGTCTGTTTGTCTATGTGTGGAGGTTGTCTGTTAGTCTCTGTGTAGAGGTCACCAGCCAGAAGAATATAATATATATCCGATCAGATACAGGCAATACCAAAAGACAACATTCATGGTTGAGTATTCCTGAGCTGGCACGATGTCTGGTTGGGACAGATGGATGGAATAGTTAGCACTTGACAGTTTCAGAAGATATTATATTTCCTATTTACTGTCTGACAGTTAAATAATGAGACTGGTGATATTACGGCCAAGACAAAAGTGCTATCCATGAAGCAAAGCATATAAGCCAGACATTCATCATCTTCATCATTGATTTGATCTATTTGAGGTGTACCGAAGACACTTCAGAAGATAAAACAAACTACGATACTAAAATCAGTCTTGATTGTGCACCTGAAAGGGTTATAGTTGATGCCTCAGTGAGTTAATTGTGACATAAACATAAAATGGGTATACTACAACCAGGGGGCCCAAATACACATCTTTTATGGTAGACACATGTTTTGTTGAGTGTTTTAAGGTGCCCTGACTAAACATCAAATGTAGAAGCGTAATAATATGTTAACTGGTGCATACGAGTACATCCAATCACATGTGGTGCATTGTTTGGGACAGAAATTTAAGTTAGTCTAAAATGATTTAATTATTTTTAATATTTAATAAGATTATAACAAACATCTTTTAAATTTTATATTATTCTGCCTTTTTGTGTCACACATAAGGTCCCGTCTAAAGTATGTGCTTGTTTGGTCTTTCTCACAGTATCATTTCTCAATACCGATAGAGTGACAGAATCTTCTACAACTGCCAACCCCGTAGTTTGATTACTATAGAATTTACATGAGCACTTAGAGAAGCACACAGAGAATCTTGTCAGCGGAAATATACAAATCACATAAACTGTTGTTACACTGTGCCTGCCTCTCACCATAGAAGTCTTAGAATAACCACATGATCGTTTTGTTTACATAACACATGTTAATTTTATCCTGCAGCATCCGCCTCCAGTCCTTTCTCAACCACAGACTGCACAGACTGAGACGAGCTGAAATCAGCAAACTGAAGAAGGTTATCGAAACTGAGCAGACGAAAGTAAGTTTCAGTTACATTCGGTGCTGTTGATGTGAACTATATTATATGTACACAAGCTTCTAGAATGTGCCAGTCATTTCTTCTTCTTCCTCTTCTTTGATTTAGTCAATATGCTTATGTTATCGTTTGTGTTGCCTCCCTGAACTGGCACGTCTGTATTACTCAGATTTTTTTTAAAACAAAAAACACGAACAGGTAAGTTAAAACTACAGTGAAGAACACCACATCTAAAAACAGCCTTAAGTTAGGTCAAAATTATTTAAACTTTTATGTTTTTGTTTTGTTTATGTTTACTTTTTTTTTTTTTTAGTTTCATATCATTCTACCTGTTTGTGTTAGGCCTGTCTAAAGTGTGTACTTGGTCTTTCTCACAGTATCATTCCTCATCTACACCAACGGTGGCAGCAGCATCTTCCACCACTGCCAACCCTGCAGTCACATCAAGGCCTCTGGCGCCCTCACCACATCAGGCTCAGTGGAACAAAAACAGCACTGGCACACCTTCGCCCATGTCACCGACTCCCTCTCCAGCGGGCAGCGTCAGCTCTCAGGTGAATATCTCTTTTTCGAATCTTTAATTCTTCTTAGCCTTCACTTGCTGATAACTGTGGCGGAATGCTCTGGTTGTTCATCCACTTCTGGACTTTAGACTTGTTCCAAAACTTAATTTTGCGTGCACATCCACTTATTTGTATGTAGACTGTTGGTTTCCCGCCTCTCGGGAAGATGTTCTCCAAGTTTGAAAGAAACACCCACAACTAGTAGCCTCGTTTGACATGCTTGTTATGGGGCCAGTGGGTCTGTTCTTTCTTCTTTAAAATTCAACCCCTGAACACACGCGGGGAATCTTGGTCATATAATAATAGAGGATTTTAATTAAAAGAGCCGTCTGCACAACAGAGATTGGCTACAGTATATCCACTGCTAACTATGGGAATATTATCTAATGTTGCTGTAATATCTTTCCATGGTGTGACTCTCGTACCACTGTATGAAAGCCACTAAAACCATCTTGTTTTGAACCGCCTACTGGGGTAAGGACAACTGGTAAAGGTCAAGAATTGCATTTTAATAACCAGTTCATAAACCTCAAAGTCACGGAGCGACCGAGGATCAAGTTTTTTTTATCTCGTAATAGAGGGTGTTTGCAAAGCTCAGAAACCTTGCCAAATAATGAGCAATGATTGTCTTAGAATGGGATCAGAAGTAAGTAGGACACACTAGACAGCAGAAAATATTAATCACAATTACTGTTTGTTGTAAATGTGTTGATGGCAGCAGTTACCTGAGACCTGGAAACACTTTTATTTTTGAAGTGGGGATCATCACTGGGGCTACGGAAGTCATGCTGTGTGCAGCATTTTCAGCAGGCAGCTAGCTGTTCTGCAGAGAGAGACTGAGCTATATGGGATTAAACCCATTGCAATGAAGTCGATCCTATAGCCTCTTGAGGTCTGCCATACTTTTTAATAGGCATGTTGTGTTGTGTGAGGGAGAGAGGGGGGGGGGGGGAGAGAATAACATACGGACCTTTTGAATTTGTTCCACCGGCATCTAGGGGCATGCAGACCACCAGGAGAATGGTAAATAGAAAGGTGTAAAGTGTTTTGTGTTAATCCTGAATGAGCACTGTCTCATACCTTCTGAAATCCATCTACAGGGAAGCTGTGAGCTGGTCACTAACAAGATCCAGAATGGTGCCACCAACTCTTCGTCCACTCCCTTGGCATCACCTTCCCCTGGGATGGTCAGTGTCCACCCACGGTTGCATTCAGTGACCCAGAAGTACTTTGCCCTGACTAGTCATATTGTGAAATCCCTAGAGTTGTGGGAACAAGCTGATGCAGAAAGTCGGGGATTTGAGGGTAAGTGTTTTTTTTTTTTTTGCCTGACTTCTTCTGAGGATTTTGAGTTTCTTGCTTCTGTAGCAACATTGGTGGTTTAAAGAAAATATTGGGAAGAGACCCATCATCAAATATATTGAGAAACAAAGAATGAAATGGTTTGGCCATCTAATGAGAATAAAACCAACCAGCAGCAAGAGCTTACAACCTGAAAGGTGAAACACCAAGAGGCAGAGGAGGACCAAAAAGAAGATTGATTGAAGGAGTCACTGACACCTTGAGACTGCATAACATCACGGCATATTAAGCGATAGCGCGCCCTGGCTGGGATGCCGATCGTCTGATGAACTGCGATGCCTAGCGGCATAAGCAGATATCGACACACAAAAAAGAAGAAGATAAGAGAAGAGATCGAAAAGAAGAAGAAAATCATGAAGTATACGTTAGCTTTACAAAACAATGAACAAAGAGGACATTTTGGTCATTCTCCTTCATCAGCACAACTTTTTCTAATGTAAATGCTGTAGACACATTTTACGAATTAGTTATTTAGAACACAAAACTAACAAACATGTCAGACAAAATATACAGACTTGCAGGACACCAGGAGCCTCTCTTGCAGTGGTCGCAAGCTAGCTTGGTTTGGGCACATGGTGAGGCATGATTCGATTGCAAAGACTGTAACTTCAAGGAATACTGGGGGCTAGTGGAAGAAGAGGAGGGCAAAAAAGATTATACAATGACAACATCAAGAAATGGACAGGACTGAATTATTATATGCTTATTCGTCAAGCGGAAGACGCAGAAAAATGGTGGATTTGATGAGCTAGTGCTTCCATCCATACACATCCACGACCCTGATGGGTTAAGGGTTATGTTGTCAGCAAAATGATGACAAGGAACTAAATGCAACTCTCTCTCTCTCTCTCTCTCTCTCTCTCTCTCTCTCTCTCTCTCTCTCTCTCTCTCTCTCTCTCTCTCTCTCTCTCTCTCTCTCTCTCTCTCTCTCTCTCTCTCTCTCTCTCTCTCTCTCTCTCTCTCTCTCTCTCTCTCTCTCTCTCTCTCACACACACACACGCACGCACGCACACACACACACACACACACACACTGACTCTAAAATGGCTACATTGAAATATCATGTACACAACTGAAACAAACTATTAATAGTAAACAGAATGATATAAAGTATGTGACACTGAGTCTCTGTGTGTGCGTGAGAGCATGCAAGTGCAAATCAAGTATTGCATTTGCCCAGCACAGCTCTCACGCACACACTTTTGGGGCAAAAGATGTCTAAGAAATATTCATGAATTTGGGTTTGAACCTTGCATTTCTTGAATCTTAGTCTATCTAACTGCTGCCTTAATTATCTATACCTTTATTCTGTCTACCTGTCTTCTCGGTGCCTTCCTAATTGCTGTTTTCCCCGTTTGTGTTCCAGAGCCCCATAGTCAGGAGGGGAGAACAAATATAGCTCCCCCAACCCCCAAGAAACATGTCATAAAAGGTGACCAAGTAAGGATGTTTCCTTTGGAGTCTTAAGGTATCTGCCAGTGAGACAATGAACCAGACGTGTGCATACAAATAAGCCAGAATTGTAAAACAGATTTGCGTGCAGGAACGAGACTTGGCTGAACAACTAGGACGCCAGAATTTATAGGTGGTGAATGGGGGAAAAAAAAATTCCTGATTGTTTTAATTCCTTTGCCGGCTTGTATTTGAAAATTTTTGTTAATTTTTTTTTTTCTTATGAATTCTTATTTCAAAGACAGAATTTCACAGAGTTAAAGTGTTTTTATTTCTGCCTGTCTTTTCAGACTTCTTCACAGTCTTGGACAACTCATGTGGAGTCCTCACCTTCCACTCGGACCCACCGTTTGTGGTGAGGTACATGAAACACGCTCTCCGCCTGCTCAACTTGTGATGGTAACCACCGTCTTCAGCCTGGGGTTGTGGGGTGGGATCAGCTGGTGAACTGCTAGGATAAATTATTTGGAGACTACAGTCTGGAGAAGACAAGAACGTTCTGTCTCTCACTGGAGTCTCTCAGCTTTACAGGGATATAACAGAGTTGTAATATATTCACCTGATACTTAAGTGTGGCATTTGTGCATTTGATTTGTTGAAGCTTTGCTGGAGCAAGGTAGTTCACCCCAGCTGTTCAAAGACATCTGCCTGGATTGTGGACGTTGTTGAAGCCTGAGGAAAGAAGAACTAGGGTCAGCTTTTCTTTGTCAAGACACAGTGTGGATGTTCAGATGTAGTAGCTGCTGGGGTACGGGTTGGTCAAAATTGTTTTACGGATGTAGTTACCCCAGTGTAACAAATGTTACTGTATGGAGGATCTGGAGGTTTGGTCAGAATTAGAGACAATGTAACAGATGTCCTTGTATAAAGGGACTAGGGGCTTTAGTCAGAATTAAAGACTTAATGTAGCAGATGTCCCTGTATAGGACAAGGTTTCGTCAGCAGTAAAGACTTGATGTAACAAATGTCCCTGTTTAGGAGGATGAGGCTTGGTCAGAATTAGAGACTTGATGTAACAAATGTCCCTGTTTGGGAGGATGAGGCTTGGTCAGAATTAAGACTTGATGTAACAAATGTCCCTGTAGGTTTGGTCAGAATTAAAATGGAATAGTTAGTACTTGACGGTTTCACAAGAAATAGTTTCAGGGAAAGTTTAGCAAGAGTGGTCTTGAGATTGTAAAGATTTCAGCGTAATAAATGTCTGTAACAGGGAGAGCTTGATCAGAAATTGTTTCATGTATGTGTAGGCATCATTGTAACAAAGGTCTCTAGTACATATAGAATTTGATCAGAATATTTTTTTTAGTGATGGAAAGTCTTCAATGTAACAAAACTGCAACAGTGTGAGATTGGTCAGAAATTGTTTTAGAGATGTAGAGACCTTGAATGTAACAAAGGTCTCTGTGACAAGGAGAGTTTGGTCAAAAATGGTTGTGGGAATGTAGAGGCCTTGATTGTAAGTCTCTGTGACAAGGAGAGTTTGGTCAAAAATTGTTTAGGCATGTAGAGGTCTTGATTGTAACAAAGGTCTCTATGACAAGGAGAATTTGGTCAAAAATTGTTTTGGACATGTAAAGACATCAGCTTAACAAATATCTTTTCTTTGCAACGGAGTTTGATCAGAAATGGTTTTCAAGATGTAACAATAAGAGCATGTAGTTTTGGTCAGAAATTGTTACATATGTCCCTGTGTAGAGGGACTGACAGTTTTGATCAAAATTAGACATTGTAACAAATGTCCCTATGTAGGAGAATGAGGTTTGGTGAAAAATTTTCTTTTAGTGGTAGTTACTGCAGTGTAACAAATGTCCGTGTATATGGGGTTTGGAGAGTCCTAATTAAAAACTGTGTAACTCTAAAGGATGACAAGTTTTGTCAAAAGTAGAGACTTGATGTAAAAATACAAAGGAGACGAGATTGTTTATGGGAATATAGTTAATTCCATGTAATAAAAATCTCTCACATTTTGGTCTGATACTGTCTTGTAGAAATTCAGTGTAAAAAATATTTTTGCAGCAGAGACTAGATATTCAGTGAAACAAATGTTTTTGCAGTAGAGAGACTAGATATGATCAACAATTATCTTTTAGATATTCAGTAAAACTTTTACTCCACAACAGAGAGACTAGATTTGGTCAGAAATTGTCTTGCAGACAATTAAAACAAAGTTTTTACAACAGAGGAACTAGGCTGGGTCAGAATTGTTTTTGGAACGTAGTTATTTCCATGTAACCAATGTCTTGATGATGCAGAGATCGTGTAGGTTGGGTCAGAAATTGTTGTTTTAAGATGTAGACATTTCAGTGTATCCAACACCTGGGACTGGAAGAGCAGGTTGGATTGGCCAGAAATGGTGTTAGGAAATGTACAGAGGTCAGTTAAACAAATGCCTCTGTGAAAGGAAGAGCATGTAGATTTGGTCAACAAGTTACGTTTAGCTGTTCATTGTAACCCATTCCTCTGTAACCAGGTCAAATGTGGTCAACAAACTATTTTGTAGATGTAGATATTTCAGCGCAGCAAGCGCTTTTTTTTGACAGGTGAGAACATGCAGATTTAGTTTTAAAAAAAAATGACATGTAAATAACAAATGTCTCTAACCAGGACAGCGTGGTCAGAAATTTATTTGCAGATGTAGATATGGCAGTGTAAATAATGTGTCTGCAACAAGGAGACTATGCAGAATTGCTCAGAACATGTCTTGTTGGGTATAGCTACTTCACTGTGATAATGTCTATGACCGAGTTGAGTTAAGACAAGAATTGACATCACAGCACTCGGGGGCATTTCCATACATGCTCCGTCCTCATCTTCAGCAGCTAGCACAGTATATGACAGATAGAGCTTGTGGGGTTACCTAAGAATTTTCATGAAGATGTAGACACTTCTAATAATAAATATCTTTGCCAGAGGGATTTTCTCTAGATTTGGGGCAGGAATCACCAGCCAGAAGCATATATTATTCTCTGATCAAATACAGGCAATATCAAAAGACACCATTCATTGTTGAGGATGCATGAGTTTGCATGACACCTGGTTGGATGGAATAGTTAGTACTTGACGGTTTCAGAAGAAATAGTTTCAGGGAAAGTTTAGCAAGAGTGGTCTTGAGATCATAAAGATTTCAGTGTAACAAATGTCTGTAACAGGGAGAGCTTGGTCAGAAATTGTTTCATGTATGTGTAGACATCATTGTTACAAAGGTCTCTAGTACATATAGAATTTGATCAGAATATGTTTTTAGTGATGGAAAGTCTTCATTGTAACAAAAGTGCAACAGGGTGAGATTGGTCAGAAATTGTTTTGGGGATGTGTAGACCTTGAATGTAACAAAGGTCTCTGTGACAAGGGGAGTTTGGTCAAAAATTGTTTTGGCAATGTAGAGGCCTTGATTGTAAGTCTCTGTGACAAGGAGAGCTTGGTCAAAAAATGTTGTGGGGATGGAGAGACCTTGATTGTAACAAAGGTCTCTATGACAAGGAGATTGGTCAAAAATTGTTTTAGGCATGTAGAGGCCTTGATTGTAACAAAGGTCTCTATGACAAGGAGAGTTTGGTCAAAAACTGTTTTGTGCATGTAAAGACATCAGCTTAACAAATATCTTTTCTTTGCAACAGAGTTTGATCAGAAATGGTTTTCAAGATGTAACAATAAGAGCATGTAGTTTTGGTCAGAAATTGTTTAAGACATGTAGCGACTTGAATGGAACAGAAGTCTCTGAGACAATGATTGCATGTAGGTTTGTCAGAAATTGTTTAAGACATGTAGCGACTTGAATGGAACAGAAGTCTCTGAGACAAAGATTGCATGTAGGTTTGGTCAGAAATGGCCTTAGGGATGAAGACACTTCAGTATGACAAAGGCCTCTATGTCAACAGGCCAGGCGCATTAGAGCAGTAAACAAGTTGTGATTAAAAAAAGAAAAGCTTGAATCTGCCATGAAAGTTTGTTTAAAGCTCGAATGTTTTCATTTTTCTTTTGTTTTAAGTGAAGGTTTTCTGCTGTTCTTAATTTATGCTCAGTACTATTTTTGTTTTATTAGACCTAGGGCTGTACATATATTAAGTATGTTCCATATGTTTGTAAGAGAGTGTGTCTTCCTTTTGTGTAAGCATATGTTTCTGATTCTTTTGTTTTCTGTTTTGTTTCAACCATGAGGTCATTTATCAGCTATAGCATCATACAAAAGATAGTGTGCATTGTTGTCATATTTATTTGAGTGCTGTTATCTCCTGTTGTTTTGAAAAGATAAGTATAAGTAAATATGAAATATACAGATATAGTTTATTTTGTAAGACTGAAGGAGTGTGAATGTTAGGGCTGCTGTTGTAACAGAGTTTGTGGCTGGGTCTGTCTTTCTCTATTTTGATAAGTTGCATTCATGTTATTGATCATACTTAGTACATCCTTCTTCTTCTTTGTGTTTACCAACTGTAAACTTGGATGGAAAGTTCTGCTGGTTCCTCCATTTCTGGACTTGAGTCTTGTTCTATGGTTTGTACACCTAGCAAAAATGCCCTGGTACTATTTGCCACAGTGAGCTACACTGAAACGTTACAACAGGTATAAAGCGAACGGAAGACCTCGGAAAAGATGGGGTGATGGCATTAAGAACAGCCTTACAGAAATGAACATCAGTCCTAATAGTGCTCTTGACAGAGCTCATTAACGAACATTACAAATCCCCCCCCCCCCCCCTTCCACATACACTTCGCTGAGGTACAAGATGGAAGAGAAGAAGAAGTCTTGTTTTGCCCTCACAGCCATTTTACACATCTGGCTAATTCTTATGCAGACTGTTGATCCCTCGTCGCTCAGGCAGATGCATTCTGACTTCGGGGAGAGATCCCTAATTAGTTGCTGTGTACAACTTGCATGTTAGGGAGCTGTGGGTCAATTCCTCTCCTCCAACTTTAGGAAACAGTAGGAGAAATTTCGCTCTGGAAATTCTAAGTAGTTAAATTTATACCAGAATTATTTTTTGGGGGGGGGGGGGGGGGGGGGGGGGGGGGGTGAGCAGAGCAGAAAAACTGGTTGCCTTATCTCATTACTGCCTGGCCTCGTATTTGTGATCACCCAACCAACACCTCCTCCAAATCTTAAGCTTGTAATCTTACTGGTGCCGTCAGCTTGCTGCTGAAGATGGGCACGTATGGTGACGATTCTTAATTCTACATTGAAGATAGTTTGCTTTGTGTTTGAAACTTGGGGTGTGGGCAGGATGTCTATGCTGCTGTAACAAGTTATTGAAGTAGTCCAGATTGTTCCATGTTAAATGGTGATATGTGCTGCTCAGGAAGCCATGACAGAAATCTGTGCCGGAGAAGGAGGGGAAGATGCTGGTGCTTTTGTTGGTCTTGGAGAAACCCTTTGTGTGTTTGTGTGTGGGTGAGGAATCTGTTTATTTGGGTGCGAGGAATCTGTTTGTGTGTGGGTGAGGAATCTGTTTATTTGGGTGCGAGGAATCTGTTTGTGTGTGGGTGAGGAATCTGTTTATTTGGGTGCGAGGAATCTGTTTGTGTGTGGGTGAGGAATCTGTTTATTTGGGTGCGAGGAATCTGTTTGTGTGTGGGTGAGGAATCTGTTTATTTGGGTGCGAGGAATTTGTTTGTGTGTGGGTGAGGAATTTGTGTGTGGGTAAGGAATCTGTGTATTGGTGAGAAATATGTTTGTGTGGGTGCGAGGAATCTGTTTGCGTTTGGGTGAGGAATCTGTTTGTGTGTGTGGTTGAGAGATAATTCTGTGTGTTTATGGTGTTTTGGCAAAGATCTGTATCAGTTCAGGGTGTTTGTATGTGGGTGGAGAACATCTGTTTGCATTCAGGGTGTTTGTGTGTAGGTGAAGAACATCCATGTATTTATAGTGTTTGTGTATGGGTGGAGAACATCTGTATGCATTCAGGGTGTTTGTGTCCAAAGAAAGTACATGTTTGTATTTATGGTTGTTTGTGTTTAGGGTATTTGTGTGTGAGTGACGAACATCAGTGTGTTTAAGGCAGACAGAGGTTCTCAACCTTCCTAATGCCAGGACCCTTCAATAGAGTTCCTCATGATGTGGCAACCCCCCAACCATAAAATTATTTTCGTTGCTACTTCACAACTTCAGTGAATATGAGTTTCCGGTGGTCTTAGGCGACCCCTGTGAAAGGGCTGTTTGACCCCTAAAAGGTACCCACAGGTTGAGAACCACTGGTTTAAGTTTTTTATTTTAAATGTGTGTGTGTGTGGAAAATTAGCATTTTATGTAATTAAAATGTGTACACCTTCAGGGTGTTTATGTAAGATAAAGCTTGTGTGATGAACATGTGTACACATTTAGGATGTTTATACGTGAAGTTTATGTATATTGACATTTATTTACATGTACAGTTAGTGTTGAATGAAACCTATGTTATAAAAATCTGTAAAAAGAGTGCCTATATGGGGACAGATTGGAAACATTTGTCCGATGAAAACTTGTACACAGGGTTTCCGTACAAGGGCAGATTTAAACTTGTCTGTTGAAAACATGAAATGGCCTTTCATAGCGTTAAGAGAGAATCTCTTGGGATATTAATGAGTTGTAAGGAATCCTAGAAAGATCATTAATTTGACATAGGCATATTTATTATGAAATAGAAGTGTTTTTTTTTTTTTTTAGGGGAAAACTAACAGATACATTTAGAATTAGGTCGTCAGGATTGTGACAGGGATGCCTTTTCTAGCCTTTATTATTCATATCAACTATAAATTGGACCATGAATACAACTACCAACAGAATGTATATTCGCATGGCCATGACAGAGTGTTTTGAAGGTCTGGAGGTCAGTTGTTTTGCTGCTGTTTTGTACATGAAATTAGATGCAAGATAAGCACACTTAATGGGAGACAGCAGCTAGGTCTAAAATGTTTAGGGTAAAGATAGTGAGAATAAGTGAAGCATGTCTTGCAGTTGGTGAAACCTCACCACAGAAGCTAGAATTTAAAAAAACTTTTAAAATAATTCTAAGACAAGAGGCACTCTCAGAACACTAGGACAATATTTTGTGTGTGTGTGTGGGGGGGGGGGGGGGGGGGGGGGTTCCGTAAAAATAATGCATCTTGTACACCAGTTTCAGAAAAACATCTAAAACAGTTATGAATAAACTACCTTTGTTCATTACCTGGTGCCTGTGTGTTATATGATTAAAATAATCAGACTCGTTCAGTGTGTAGAGCTTATGGAGAGAACAAAATACATTCTGGTAAATCACAGGGTGGGAAAGTGATATTGCATAAGGCCCACATTGAGAAGAAATCTGTACTTCCTCTGGAACAACAGGGAAAATAATCAAAATGATACCATGGGAGAAGCTACTTAGAGACGAATGAATAACTTAAGGAGAACATCGACAAAGTTCATGAGATTCAGGTTGAAGAATATTGTGTACAATAGTTAAGGAACTATGCTCTGTTGTGTGAGGGATGTAGGCAGGCAGCGTCTGCCTTTGCTGAGGTTGCTCTAACTTTACGACTCAAGCTTCCAAACGCATTGAACTGGAGAAATTCAAGAGAACTATATGTGTGCTGTCACCTGGTAATTTTATCAACTTATGTAGCAGGCTACTTTCTTTGAATGTCAGAGCGCACTGGAATGGTACGTTAAACATTTTCTGGCATGTGACAGTAAATCTTTGTATGTGAATTAACAAATCAGGAAGGGCTTGCAGACAGCGGAAGTTTGGTTCAAGTCAAATGCTGTGATCATCTTTGAAAACCAGAGCCACAAATGATTTGGGAAAACTTACTGAAAGTAGACCTTTGTGTATAACAAAAGAGACTGTTTTTAGTCATCTTTTGAGAAGATAGGCATAGAAGTTTGTGATGATTGGAAAGATCAGTGGAAAAAAAGGCACAGACAGACAGGTGTGGAATGTTTGAATAACTAGCACAAAATGTTCTCACTAGAGTACATGAGGATTCATGTCATGGAAAAGGGATTTGAACTGCCCAAGGCAGGAGTCTCAGGTGGACCTGGTATCCCAACTGCTGCTAGTAAATGCTCTTGGAAGTTCAGTTAGCCCAATATGATATTCACTAAATCACCCATTGATTAGTCTGTAGAAATGTGGATTGAGCATCATCATGTACCACATAGGTCTCAAAGTGCTGAAGTAAGTCTTTGACCTGACCTAAGACAGCTGGCTTGTTATTAGTTTGTGGTACCTGACAACCCACTGTTGGACCCATGTAGATGGGTTTGGACTTGCATGGATTGCTTAGGCCTGTATAGACGGATTGGACCTGCAAAGATAGGTCAGACCCGTATAGATGGATTGGACCTGCAAATATAGGTCAGATTCGTATAGATGGATTAGACCTGCAAAGATAGGTCAGATCTGTATAGATGATTGGACCTGCAAAGATAGGTCAGATCCGTATAGATGATTGGACCTGCAAAGATAGGTCAGATCCGTATAGATGATTGGACCTGCAAAGATAGGTCAGATCCATATAGATGATTGGACCTGCAAAGATAGGTCAGACTCGTGTAGATGGATTGGACCTGCAAAGATAGGTCAGATCCGTATAGATGATTGGACCTGCAAAGATAGGTCAGATCCGTATAGATGGATTGGACCTGCAAAGAAGATAAGTCAGACCTGCATAAGTGGATTGGACCCATATAGTTCAGACCCATATAGATGGGTTTGACTTCTATAGATGGATTGGGTCTGTATAGATGGGTCAGACTTATATAGGTGGGTAGGGCCTGATTATATGGGTTGGACCCCATATAGATAGATCAGATCCGTATAAATGAGTTGGTCCCATTCACATAGGGGGACAGACAAACAAGGGTTTTCACATGACTAATGATATATCTTGCTGGAACTGTGATGCACATCTCAACATATTGTGATGAAAAAGAAGAAAGATGATTGAACTTCAGTTGCATATGTTGTGTAATACTTGACAGACAAATTTTGTTTCTTGTTATATGGTGAATCACATTAAATAAATAATTATTGAACCTATTTTATTTTCTGTGTCTGCCAGTGTGTTCAGTAGACAGTTTTTTTTGGGGGGGTTTTTTGTCAGTCTTTCCCAGTTGCTGATCCTTGGGACCCATAGGGGTCTTGAGATATACCCCCTAAGGCATTCTTGTATCACCACCACCCACCCTGGTGTTGATGATATCGTTATTTCCCCAAGGCACCCAAGACATCACACAGAGACACCCATAAAAAGCCAACAACATCCTGCACAGTCTTATAATGCACATTTTTCTTCAATCGGGGGGCGATTTTAATATTTTGTAAATTATGTATAGTCTTCTGTTTGGCTATTAACACATTTGGGGGTCTGTTGCAGATTTTTGAAAACATGAATGATCCATGGGTCTTAGCTGATTGGGAATCACTGTTCTGTGATCTTGTAGCTGTTACATTGTTTAGTGTACTTTTCTTACATAGTGTCTGATATCCTGAATGTAATTTAGTTTTCTCTTTAACTGGAGGAGAAAGGCAGAGAAGAAAAAATACAAGTGCTTGTGTCACTACATATATAGTACAGACCTCCTTGCTGTAGGTCATAGAGAAATGCAGGTAATGGGTTACATAGAAACATACCAAAGCAACTAACACTGTAGTCATGCAGTAGTATAAATATATATATACACATATATATATATATACACACACACACACACACACACACACACACACCATTGGGTCATAAATAACTTTCTGTCAGCATGCAGGGGCAGCAAGATGGTATGTCTCCCAAGTAACAATCAGTGATGGTCATTGTGGACACCTGGTAATTATTCTGGATTCCGGATTGTCATTCTGGACTCAAGGTGGTCATTGTGGACTTAGATTTTTATTCAGAACTTATGGTGGTCATTGTGGACTCCCAAAAGTGGTAATTCTGGACTCGAGATGGTCATTCTGGAATTGGTTGTTCTGGATTTAAAGGGGTCATTCTGGATTTAGAGTGGTCATTCTGGACTCAAGATGGTCATTCTGTATGCAAGATGGTCATTGTGGACTTAAGATGGTCATTCTGTACGCAAGATGGTCATTGTGGACTCAAGATGGTCATTCTGAACGCAAGATGGTTATTGTGGACTCAAGATGGTCATTCTGTACGCAAGATGGTCATTGTGGACTTAAGATAGTCATTCTGTACGCAAGATGGTCATTGTGGACTTAAGATGGTCATTCTGTACGCAATATGGTCATTGTGGACTCAAGATGGTCATTCTGGCCAACATTTGTTGATCTGAGTACTGTCCGCCTACACAGGCGCCACACTACTGTGGGCTATAGTTCTGGTCTGTGCTGATGCTAAAAAGTGAAATTAGGGAAATAATTTATTGGAAGAGCTGGCCAAGAATTATATCATTCTACAGCTGTTTCTCTATGGAGCTTGGTGTGTCAACTCCAGTTAAATGAAAAACTCAACCCAATAAGAAGTAGAACCAATGAAAAACTCATGCCAGGGAGAATAGAACCAGTGAAAAACTCAACCCAGTGAGAAGTACAACCAGTCAGCTCCCCGTTAAATCCAACTGCGGGTAGCCATTTGAAGCAGTGGATAATATGGGTTCCTCTAGTTCACATGGTTTGCTGTGTGCAAACATATGTGAAGCTGTATGATCTTTCATGCTGGATTAATGTGAAGTAGTGGACTGGTTAACATATAGACCATGGCTATTTAACTGGTGGCCTGCAGGCCAAATGTGGCCCACAGAGGTGTAGCATGTGGCCTACGGATCACCTTCCAGTTGTATTTTATTAATGATCAATCTATTCTCTGGCCTGTGATGATCCTCATTCTCCAACATTTCACCCCCTGAGTTAACTTATTTTAATGGCCCTGATATAGACAGTCTTTAACATCCCAGCCTGATCCATAGCCATGACTGTCATATGCCCAGCAACCATAGCATCATGTATCCCTGAACGAGATAATTTGCTTGTACAGTTTTTGCTTCACCAAATAGTTTTTCTTTTGTTTACTGTGTTTTTATATAATGTGTCATGGTTGTCCATCTCTCTGTTGTCTACTAGTATGTCATTATTTCCAGTTTCTCAGTTGTCTGGTATGCCATGTCACGGTTTACAATCTATTTCTCTGTTGTCTAATGTGTCCTCAGATGTAAATGTGACATGATTTTCAGTTTCTCAGTTGTCTGGTATGTCATGTCACGGTTTACAATCTATTTCTCTGTTGTCTAATGTGTCCTCAGATGTAAATGTGACATGAATTTAAGTTTCTCAGTTGTCTGGTATGTCATGTCACGGTTTACAATCTATTTCTCTGTTGTCTAATGTGTCCTCAGATCTAAATGTGACATGAATTTAAGTTTCTCAGTTGTCTGGTATGTCATGTCACGGTTTACAATCTATTTCTCTGTTGTCTAATGTGTCCTCAGATCTAAATGTGACATGATTTTCAGTTTCTCAGTTGTCCAGTATGTTATCTTAACTGCTGTGGTGTACTGACTGGATGCTTATCTGTGGATCTGAAGGTTATGGGTTCAGGCCCTGATGAAGCCTGACATTTGTTAAAAAATGATCTTAACCTCCCCCCCCCCCCCCTTTTTTTTTTCTCTCAGGTCAACCCAACCTGGGTACCAAGTGAAAGTCCTGGGAAGTAAAAGCTACCAGTAGGATATTGATCACATCATCCACCATGTGCCCATTTTTCCATAAAATATGTTCTAGCCCTATATGCCCAGAACTCTAGAAGGCAAGGAAAAAGATCCTTTGCCATCTCATCTGATGTGTTCTAGTTTTGTGTTTCTGTGTTGTCTGCTTTGTCCTGTGATGTGATTTTTTAAATCCCTCTGCTGTCTATCATCATCATCATCTCCTCTGATGTGTCATGGTTTCATTCTCTCTGTTGTCTAGTGTGTCACCAGCACCATGTGTCTGCAGTGAGTGAATTAAAAGAACATGATGATACATCTGGATATATTTGTGGTTGTAAGTGTGGGTAACAGTGTTTTCCTGAAAATAACACCAACTCCAAAAATAATCCTTGTAGGATCTTCAGGAAGCTTTTAGTGTAAGCCCTACACGCCCAACAAAATACTCCCGGTTAAGGATCTTCAGCTAAAATGGCAGACCGGTTGCTGAATGGCATTTAGATTTCAGACACCACTGTAACCAATGGTTTTACAGGAGGTGGAGTCGCAAGAAATTCACACCGAATTCAGGGTTTTGAGAGTTATGATAATGTTCCAGAAAAAGAGGCCAAGACTGTATTTGAATAAATGGCTCGCTAGCTCAGTTGGTAAAGCCTGACTGCGCTGCGACCAGGTTATGAACTCCTTGTGGTCCGGGCTCACGCCCAGGGATAGGCAGAAAAGCCACATTTCTCCAAGATTTACGGCATCTATCATAGAATCAAGGCCTAAGGGTTGCGCTATCCAAAGTACCGAGCCAAAGGGTTTACAACTCATGGTTTCTGGAAATTGAAAAAAAAAAAATATTGATTTTTGTATCTGAAAAACATACCTAAAAAATAGGTCCTAGTTCACTTTATGAAGCAAAAACAATATCAGACTCAGTTTTTTATTTGTAGATACAGCATATGTGCGTGTGTGTGTGTGCATGCTTGCATGTGAATTTGAACAGGTGTTGTTGGCTTATATTCATTGTGTGGTCAAGTATTATGTATGTATTTATGTGATTTCATGTCTGTTTGTATGCAAAATGTAATCATCTTTATAGGAATGCAATCTTTGTGTTTTTGTATATCTGGTTGATTTTGGAAAACAGTGTTTACTTACTGACTGTTTATATGTGTGTGAATGCATTTTGTGTGTGTGTGTGTGAACATGTATGAATGAAAGAGAAATACTGAGAGAAAAAGTGCTAGAATGAATGGATCCTGGTCTAAATTAGTTCATTTTCATTGACTGTTTGTGAGTGCCTGAGAACATGCATAAGAACATCAGTGAAAGAGAATGTGTTATGGTACATGTGTTACACTAAAAAGTACCCACTTTATCATAGACAGTCTCATCCTTATTGTCCTGTTGTGCTGTAATATGTCACACAGGTTGTGTCGTGGTTTTCAAAATGGCCAGTAGTCGGTTTACGTGTGGCCTGGTGAAATAGCCTGTGTAATAATTTTACGTTTGTATGGCCATATTGTTGTAACCGAATATTTCCATCAATGTCAATCTGCCTTTCTGGTAGCGACTGTTGGCTTTGGCACCTCTAGCAACTTGCTGTGTGCATTGACTGTGTGCACATGTTTCTGGATTGTTCTGAGACTAATTGTTTGTTCACCAGTTTTTCAAATGGGACAGTGAGGGACATTTCATTTGATTTTCACTGGCACATGAACGGAGCAAGTATGGGGTGACTCGATTGTAGTGAAGTCGAAACCTTTACTAAGACTAAGATTATGTCCCACAGGGCTCTCAGACTGTTTCTCCACTCTATCTTATCCTGGGCAATTAGTTAAATATCATGGTTAAAATCCAGGCCAGCATCTTTGGCCTCTCTCATCCACACTTATTTTTGGGTTTCTTTAGAAAGTCCTTGCTTCTTCAATCCATTTTTTTTACATGTTGGTGCCTGTTTTGTGGTTCTCTACTTGAGTTTTTCCTCAGGTTGTGTCCACTGTTTTGCTATCTTCTTTGTGTTCATCTCATTAGACTTTAAACAAAAATGGCACATTGCTGTGTGCTGAGATGATAATTCATTTATTCATTTGAATGTTTGGACTCAGTTGTATTGCATCTGTACAAAAATTATCTTATACAAAAACTACATTGTGTACATTAACTAATTAATGTATTCCAGTTAAATCTGAAGGCAAGTGTTTTAATTGTCCCTTAATGAAACATTTTCCCTGTTTGAACCAAATGGAAGTTGTTGCTGATTTTAAAAAAAAATGTGTTTTTAAATTTCATGTTAACTGTAAATGACAAAGCTTTCCAACTGAACCAAAAGACAATTCTTTAAATTTGGGGACAAATTTCACCTGGTTCAACCAAATCACTTCTGTAATGATTCCATTTAGCCATAATGACATCTGTTTTAATTAACCTTATTGACAAAGTTTCCCGTATGGCTGTAAATGACAATCATTTGAATTGACTTTAATTACTTTTTTTTTTAGTTGAACAAAAGACATCTCTGTTAGTTGGCCTTAGTGACAAAATTTCTCAAGTTAGCCAGTCTGGCAGCCGTTTTAATTGACCTTAATGCCAAAGTTTTGTAGCTTAACCAAATGACATCCATATTGTTTGACCTAATTGACAAGTTATTCAGTTGACCATTACAAAACAGTTTTTTTTTTGGGTGGTGGGGGTTGATATTTGCCAGTTGATTCTAACAAAAGTGTTTTGGTTGATCTTAACTCTTTCAGCACCAGAAGAGTTAGTTAGAGATACCTGTGGCATTCTTACCCACAGTATAACAGCATGGGTCTTAACTTCCAAAGAAGCAGTATTTACAATGCTACATGTTGTATGTGACCAGATTTCTACGGTATGTTCAGTCAAAAGTTGAATCATACAGTAACACACGACGCATCTGTGTAGGTTTTATGGCAATAGCTGAATACACATGGTGCCTTGCTAGAGATAGAATGAATGAAAGAATCAATCAATCAATCAAGAATTGACATCACTGCATTTGGGACATTCCCACACCTGCACTGTCCCCTTCTTCAGTAGCCAGTGAAGAGTCGACATGCTAATAGTAATGGTTGTATCTTAGGACAGAAAATGTCAATGACATAATTTCTCTGGTTTCTCATGTCAGAGTTGACCACTTACCCTTAATGACAAAGTTGTCCATGTGATCCCAATTTTGCAGTATGCTCATGTAACATCTGTCCAAATGACAAATTTTGAAATTTACCTTTATAACTATGTTTTCATATTTATCCTAATGACAAGTTGTCATATAAAATACAGTGACAAAATTATGTAAAAGAACTGCAATGAAGGTAAAGTTTACTTCACCTTTTGAATAATATTTTACACCTATCTGTTATCAGGGCGGAAGCAACATGTACCTTTGCTTTTTTCCCCTGACATTCGAGGTTTGTTTTCTCCATGTGGGTTTCGGGGGTTTTATTTTGGGGTAGAGGGGGTGCCTGAAGAAATAGACCCACTACCCATTTCCCCCATCCCCAACAAATATGTGACTAACTAGTTATTTTCTGAAATTGTATGCGTGAGGCCATACGGTGTGCAGATATCACAGCCCTAACTGCAATCCGCAATATAACCTGCCAATCACCTTTTTTTATTGATGAATGCAGAAGATTTATTCATCATCACATTTCCAATTTCCGCCACTTTGTTGTCTCGGTTAGTTTATTGTTCAGGCCTGTTGAATTTTTACTGAGAGTACCTGTATTTACAAAAGAGAGCAAGAGATCTCTTTCATAATCTTTATCATTCCTGACATCTCTGGTTGCTACCTGACACCTCAAAGCATGATGGGTAATTGGTTATCTACATCACAGCTCATGATTAGGGCACGCTTCTCATGTTGTTTTTTTTCAGCTCATTTTATCATTATCAGGCTACATTGCTGCTCACTAGTCCTTTGTGGCTACGTTACCGCACACTAGTCTGTTTTATGTTACAGATCATTGCATTGTAAACTAGTGTGGCATAATTATTTGCTATGTTGCAGCCCACTAATAGTTCTAACTTTTATAGTATGACTACATGCCTACCTTCGACAGAATAGCTCACTACATGCCTACCTTCTACAGTATGGCTCACTGCATGCCTACCTTCTACAGTATGGCTCACTGCATGCCTACCTTCTACAGTATGGCTCACTACATGCCTACCTTCTACAGTATGGCTCACTACATGCCTACCTTCTACAGTATGGCTCACTGCATGCCTACCTTCTACAGTATGGCTCACTACATGCCTACCTTCTACAGTATGGCTCACTACATGCCTACCTTCTACAGTATGGCTCACTGCATGCCTACCTTCTACAGTATGGCTCACTGCATGCCTACTTTCGACATTATGGCTCACTACATGCCTACCTTCTACAGTATGGCTCACTACATGCTTACCTTCTACAGTATGGCTCACTACATGCCTACCTTCTACGGTATAGCTCACTACATGCCTACCTTCTACAGTATGGCTCACTACATGCCTACCTTCTACAGTATGGCTCACTACATGCCTACCTTCTACAGTATGGCTCACTACATGCCTACCTTCTACAGTATGGCTCACTACATGCCTACCTTCTACAGTATGGCTCACTACATGCCTACCTTGGACAGTATGGCTCACTACATGCCTACCTTGGACAGTATGGCTCACTGCATGCCTACCTTCTACAGTATGGCTCACTGCATGCCTACCTTCTACAGTATGGCTCACTGCATGCCTACCTTCTACAGTATGGCTCACTACATGCCTACCTTCTACAGTATGGCTCACTGCATGCCTAGCATAGTGAAGCACATACATCTATGCCCCCTTCGAGACCGAGATAGGAGACATTATAATCAGCCTCTCATGGGAACAATTAGTAGAAGTACCTTGGAGTTGCTGCTGCATCAGAGGACTGAGCATGCATGGGAATGCCCAATGTGCAGTGATGTTGATTTTGATAAAGCAACATAACATCACTACATGCCGACCTCTACAATATGGCTGACTGCATGCCTGCCTTCTGTTGTTTCCTACCCACCTAACTTCTACACTTTGATCTACATCTCTAGTGTCTACAATCTACAAAATAGCTCAATATGTGTCCACCTTCTGCATCATTCATTCTCAACCTTCCTGATACCGCGACCCTTTAATACAGTTCCTCATACTGTGACGACCCCCACCATTCAATTATTTTCATTGCTGCTTCAAAACTTCAGTGAATCTGTGTTTTCAGATGGTCTTAGGAGACCCCTGTGAAAGAGTCGTTCAACCAAAAAAAAGGGCCGTGGCCCGTAGGTTGAGAACCGCTGTTTCTACATTATGGCTGACCACATACCCACCAGGATGGTTTTATTACATTCATTATTGCTACATTACATCTCTTTACATCTTGAACCACTGCATTTACATGCTGCTGCATGCCTGACTTCTACAGTGAGTCTGATTACATTCTCCCTATGATATATAATTTTGACATAGTGTGTTATATGTAAATTGCACATTGTGTGTTACATGTAATTTTCACATACAGTGTGTTTGTGTAATTTTCACATACAGTGTGTTGCATGTAATTTTCGCATACAATGTGTTGCATGTAATTCTCACATACAATGTGTTGCATGTAATTTTCACATACAATGTGTTTGTGTAATTTTCACATACAATGTGTTGCATGTAATTCTCACATACAATGTGTTGCATGTAATTTTCACATACAGTTTGCCTTTGCCTTCTGAATGCTGCTGGCGGCATCAGTTTAAATGTTTATGGTAAAACAGAGTTTATATTTCTAAATTCAGAATAGAATTAGCCGACGAATATAACAGTGTCTGTCTTGTGTTTGTCTGGGAAGCCTGTATGGTTTGTGGTTTGTTCACAGATGTGAATTTGTGTTTCTGTGCAACTGTTGTTTTGATAGTTCGTTATGATAATGAAGGGATGGCAGGAAGACGCAGCCCTGTGGTTGTAAGTTTTTTGGGTCACTTCAAATTTTTCTTTGTATTTTTTCAGTGGATCTAATTATGTGGTACTTGCTTCCAACTTTGTTGCAGTATTTTTTACCATGGCAGTTTGTCTTCGTACCTGTTTAAATCACCACTGATCACTGGCATCATGAGAGCTAATAGACTGAAATGGCTGGGGGCATAATGAAAGAATGTCAGATGACAGAGAAGTAAAAACTGTATACACAAGGGAGATGAATGGTCGTAAATTACGAGGCAGACCAAGAAGACGTTGGAGAGATAATGTCCAGACTGGCCTGCAAACACTTGGTGTCACCAACTGGAAAGAGAAGGCCAAACAGAGAGATGAATGGAGGCGGGTGATGTCTGCAGCGATGAACCTCAAGGGCTCTGCTGAAGAAGAAGAAGAAGCTTGTCTTTTAATCTCAACAAGGCATTTTCTGTCAGATGTTATTGGATATAGATAATCTTATAATAACTCTTGGTGTCCCAGGTTCGATTCTACTTAGTCGCATTATATCCGAAGAACTTTTTATTTTAACTAACAAATGTGTCAGTCTGAAGCCGATAATATAATAACACCATCAGAAAGAAGGATATACAAAGCAACAGTTGAATCAGAGTAAGTTATCGTAATTACTGGACGGGGGACAGATGGTAAATAATAGTATATGATGTAATAAGAGAGCTTAACAAACGCGTGGGAGAGGGGCTTGGGACGGAATGAATTAATGAATACAATCGCTGAGAAAAGTGAAGTGAACCAGGCTAGTCCAGGATTCAACAGGGCAGTACTGTGTAAAACTTCAGGAGAGGTTGAATAGGATATCTAAGAATTGTCCTGTTGGGTTACCATCCAGGCTGGGATATGAGTCACCAGAGTCTCACATCTTGAGTTAGCAATCAGCAGGATGAAAATTGGTTAGTCAATATGATAGGTAGGACATTATAGTATAATGTTACTTGACCTTCTTCTTGTGTTCACTTTCTGATTTACATGGACAGACAAGTTCTTGTGATAAACTTGACTGTTTTTAAGAGTTTCCTTTTAGTTCCGTACAACTTTAAGTGCAATGTTGCTTTACTGGGCCAATATTCACTTCTTAATTGGGTGTTCAAGGGGACAGTTGACCTAAAATGCACCACTCTAGTTTTTTTAATTACAAAACTACACTATATAAGGGTAGCTGCCTTGATGTAGTGGCTTGATGCTTCACGATCAGAAGGTTCCGGGTTTAGGACTTGATGATGAGGCCAGACTTTTTTTCAGATGTGACCACAGCTGCCATATCAGCCCAGCCTCAAAAAGGGGTACCATGTAAAGTCCTGGGAAGTGAAGGGGGCCGGTGGGATGTTGACCACATCACCCACCAACAGCTGACTGGTCTGTACAATTTAGGTCTAGCCCTACATGCCCAGTATGCCTGAAAGCATGGACAAGTGTCTTTTACTTCAACTAGACACCACTGACTGGTCTGCAGCTTGCTGCGGTTTGTTAAGATAAAAAACAAACTTCACACTGTGTGTGAATAATTCATCTGGACGTCACCACTCATTCTGTTGAAAGAAAAACTAAACATTCATGATTAACTTATCTAAACTTCACCACTGTATTTGTTTAACTGGTTAAAAACCACCCTATATGGTTTAATGGTTTACCTGGAAAACACTTAATGAATGCCTAACTGGTCAAAACCTCTTCTTTATTTTGTGTATGGGTTTGAAATTCTAAAATTCGACATCATATTTATTATTTGTTTAAAACTCTATAGACCTGTCATTGGTTTGAAAATTATCCTCAAGATGACTTAAATCTCTACATTTGATACTCATTACGCATGCAGTGTCTGTAAGTGCTCAAGTGTTGACCAGCGATTGCTCAGCTTGTCTGTCTGTCTTCCAGCGATGAGTGTCTGCAGGTATTAGTGTACGATTAATGCACTACTCAAACCCCTGCTTACCAGAATGGACTTGAAATATGTGTCTGCGCCACCATATATCAAACTCTGAGTTTCCAACAGTGGTTATTTCAAGATACCCAGGGAGTGTGTGTGTGTGTGTGTGTGTGTGATTTAAGTCCCAGTCCGTGAGTCTGAATAAGTTGAAACCTAAGTTCACGAGTCCGAATAAATTGAAATGGTAGAATTACTCATCAGAACCTGTTAAAATAGCATCCTGACAGGTATTTGCAAGCTGCAGTAGTCTCTACAAAGTAATCTCTCACATGAATGTGTTTATTTTTTTAAGTAAAAATAACAAAGCTGAGTTAATGGGCCATGAATGTTTATTATGTTGAGAATAACTAATAAACTTCTAGTGTAAACCCTCATGTTCTTTGCTAGCTGCAGTAGTCTCTGACATGTATTTCACATATAACTATTTTCATATTAACTTCTAGGTGTAAAAGGGATGATTTTCATTTGATTAATCTCTTTCTAGGCTGGAGTAGTCATCTGACATGTATCTTCAGATAGGTTTGTAAAGGATGATTTTCATTTTATTAATCTCTTCAGATAGGTTTGTAAAGGATGATGTTCATTTGATTAATCTCTCTTCAGATAGGTTCTCTGATTTTCATGTGATTAATTCTCTTCAGATAGGTTTGTAAAGGATGATTTTCATTTTATTAATCTCTCTTCAGATAGGTTTGTAAAGGATGATTTTCATTTTATTAATCTCTCTTCAGATAGGTTTGTAAAGGATGATTTTCATTTGATTAATCTCTCTTCAGATAGGTTTGTAAAGGATGATTTTCATTTGATTAATCTCTCTTCAGATAGGTTTGTAAAGGATGATTTTCATTTTATTAATCTCTCTTCATTAAAGGATGATTTTCTTTTATTAATCTCTCTTCAGATAGGTTTGTAAAGGATGATCTTTTCATGGGTTTGTTTGATTTTCATTTATTAATCTCTCTTCAGATAGGTTTGTAAAGGATGATTTTCATTTGATTAATCTCTCTTCAGATGGGTTTGTAAAGGATGATTTTCATTTGATTAATCTCTCTTCAGATAGGTTTGTAAAGGATGATTTTCATTTGATTAATCTCTCTTCAGATAGGTTTGTAAAGGATGATTTTCATTTTATTAATCTCTCTTCATATAGGTTTGTAAAGGATGATTTTCATTTGATTAATCTCTCTTCAGATGGGTTTGTAAAGGATGATTTTCATTTTATTAATCTCTCTTCAGATAGGGTTTGTCAAGGATGATATATATTTTGTGCAGTTGATTTCTAGAGGAGGATTCTCACTGCTCACATATATCTCTGACTCAAAGGTCTTGAGTTTGAAACTGCACCGTTTCCAGATTTGTTTGGTATTGGCCTTGATTCCTAATTTGACCCTGCCTAATATTAGTGCCAGGAAAATGTTCTGGAAAGTAAAGGTGGCCGGCATAATGTTGACTACATCATCTTGTGACAATATGAGTCTGACATCATATGCCGGATGCACAACCAGTGTTAAAAGTTCTTCACTTTTCAC